AACAAACAAATAAACTTTTGGGATAATCTTGTGTCCAAACTCTAATAATTTAAACTGAATCATTGCAATTTTTTAAATATTTTTTAATATACTTAATAAATTTATATAGTAGACATTAATTTCATCTAATTTCAATTCAGATGAATCTTGTACTTTATCATCGCTATAAACTGCTAACAAACTTTTAACTTTTTCTGGTAGGCAAAATATTTTCATACTTTTCAATCTTTTAGTTAATGAGATTGAACTAATTAGGAGATCAGAAGTATGTATACCTAGGATGAAAATGTCAAGTTTATTTCTCTACTTTTTTTTTCTTGCAATGATGTTCACAATTAAATTTATAAAATCTCTGTCGAGATTCAACTGCTTCCTCTACCATTAAATCAAGTGGAACTGGTAAATTAATAATAATATTCTTAGCATGAGCTTATACTTTTTGAATGGAAGCTGGGAACTTGAACCAATCATATATCTTTAACAACTTGTTATATGTATCATTGCAGTATTTATCAATTTTTTCCGGATCATTTGGGTCTTTGCAATTATTTGCAATTAGAATGTTATGTAATCTGATAATTTCTTCATCCATTTCTAAAATTTTGCTAAGTAATAGAGGATCAGAAAAAGCTCATGTGCATAAATTTCCGGTATTACTAGTTCCAGTTGTAACAAACTTTTTTTTAGATTGCTCATCATGTTAGGTGTGGCGTGACAAATCGGACAGTATTGTATCGAAGAAGTCTCTGTGATGTAACTAAGATTTTTCCATCAATTGAAAGGATAAAACTATAGTTGATAAAAACATACTTATGTCCTGAAAGGTAAACTTTATCAGGATATAAATTAAGAGTTTCTTTTTCAATTTCTTGCTTAATTTTGAATACCACTTCTTTATTCTCATTTACATACTCCAGTATAATTGGTCTACAGAATCTAATACCTTAACATTATGTTATTCCATAAAAGATTGTTTAAATCTGATTGTACATGTAATCAAAGAGGTGATGTTACTGTGACTAATAGATCCGAATCTTGAAGGTTATTTAGATTGGAATTATTAAAACGTTAATAATAGTATTTTTAGTGACTTGATGATTCGTCCATACCCTGACAACTAATTAGTATTAATTCATCAAAGTCTTTCTTTTTATCATTAAAACTTTTAAAATTTTCTTCTCCCGTAGTTTCACAAGCTTTTTGGATGAATGATCCATAAGATCCTGTAGTTTAACTTTGGCCTTTATTTCAGTAACTTTAATGGATGTTTTAAGGCGTGAGCACTCATTTTTTATTTCAAAAATTACTTGATAAGATGGAAACCTGCATGGTGCTTCTTTATGGGTATTTTCAGAAACACTTCCTGAAAGTTTGTTATGCAAGAAATTTACAAAAGCTTCTTCAGATGCTGGTTTCTCTCGCTATTGTATTTATTTTGTATTCTCTGACTTGAATTCTAGTAACGTATTTAAACCCACTATTTACATTTTCAAAAGTATTTGCTGAAAGCTGAAAACATTGCACAATTTGTATTAAATTGATTTCCTCCATTATCTTAGTTCACAACAATAAACTTACAAAGTAAAAAGAAACTTTTTAACATAATTTAGAAATTCATGTGGTACATAATGATTGAACCAAGTTACTTTTCTGATTTTTGGCCATCTGATTTTCCACTGTGCATAGGCCTCAAAAATTTGGTATATAAAGTAATTGGATTATTATAATTTGAATAAGTATGGTTTTTTTGTTTGTTTGTTCCAGCTGGAACCGGATTTGAAAGCCTGCACCTCAGCATCGTGGCTACATAATATATATTTATAACCTATAATATATATAGCCTATTTCATTGATTTGATTTTTGTTTGAACTAATATGTTGTTTTCATTTGTTTCTCATAATTTTATTTATTAAAAGTTTTAACATGCATAATATTTATATTTAAAATTATTTCTTTGTTTCCTATTTTTTCATTTAGGTTAAATTAAAATGTTTACTGTATTAGGCATCCTATATTTTTTAGTTATTTAAAATTTAAGTTGAGATTTTATTAATTTAAAATGAGACTATTCTCAGAGGCAGTTAACAATTTTGATGAAAAAAGAGTTTGTTGCCCAAATCTAAATAGCATCTCATTTTATACCACATTATTCCTAAGCTTTTAGAAACCCTTACATAATTGATTACTGCAAATAAAATTATTGTGTTTGTTAAGAAACTTGTATTTTTTACCTAGGTTTACCTATAGTTCTTCATTGCCCTGTAGGACAATGATCAAGTCAATAACTCCAGCCGGTAAGTTTTTGTTTGGGTGTGACTTCCTGCAGTCGTTCTCAGAGGTGCAATAAATGGATCAGATGAAAGAATGTTTGGGTTTAACTTTATTACTCTTGTGTGGCAGGCAGACAGTGTTAATTTATTGCTATAATCATAACATTATTTTTACCTAAGAAAACCATAAAAAACTCATTAGCTCATTAACCCTATTAAAATCATAAAAAACTCATTCTTTTAATATTTCTTATAGTATACTTGGCCTGACACAAAAAAAACTAAAACTATTCTCTACATATTGACCTCAAAACTTAGATTGAAAAATAAATAGAAAGTCAAAAAAAGATCATGGATATTCTTCACAATAATCACTATAAAAAATATAAAACTACAGATCATTCAAAAAACAACATAAAAAAAGTGTTTTTATTTCAAACTATTAAAATGAATAAAATCACATACAAAATTGGAATGTTTTGGTTGGATTAATGCTATGATGTTTTAGTATTATTTAAAGAAGGTTGATAGATAACTGTTCAGTTGATTTCATGAAATTCACATGAATAGTTTTTCTACAAATCAAAAATATCAAAAATATTGTTGGTAACTTTTTAAATTTTAATTTCAAATGTTAAATATATTACAAACATGTAATATTTGTATTTCTTACACCAAAAAGTTTATAGATTTGGAGATTTTTTTATTGTTGTGTTTGTCATTAATCAAATTTAAACACGAATAAAGAGTTATTTAGGTCAAACCTTCATTTATCTCATTATCATAAGGGAGAAGTCGACATATAAAAATTTACCTGCATACTCTTTTCCAGCTATTTGTAAGCATAAAAGTCCCAGAATAATGTCACTAATATATACAATATAACATGTAATAAACACAATAAAATGAATTAGTGAATTAGAAAATATGACCTAGACCTTGACATAATAATTAGTGTAGAATCTAGAAGTTTTATTATTTCTTTTCTTTTAACCCAACTAAATAAATGGTCTAATTATAAAAATGATAGTTATATTTACACTTTTCTTTTTTTTCTGTGCATGGCTTTTCTTTCCACCTATTTATCCTTTAAATCTTTTCATATTTAAACTTAGCTCCAAATTCAGTAATAGAAAGACCTATGGCGGTCAAAACTAATTCTGAAATATTGCTTCATACTTAAAAGGTTGTAGTTTCAGGAAAAGAATCAACTTCAGCATTGCGTTTGACTTTGTCATTGCAGAAGCCTTCAACGTGTCATGTAGAATCATTTTATAAACGCTCTGTGCTTGTGACACCAGATTAAGTATTATCATTACCAAAAGTACAAGAAAGAAAGCCTTCAAAAAACATTTGCAAGAAGAGAACTTTGACTATTTCAAATAATTCAACATTCAAAAATTCTGTAAATCACATTCACAGCCAAAGCAAAAGTTCTGCTAAGCAAAAAGGCGAAGCAACAAAAAAAAACATAGACAAGACTCAGGACCATTGTCATAAGATGAAAACTACTGTTTTATTTGCATGGATACTTAGATTAACAATAGAGATACTGAAAAATGAGTTGATTGTTGTGTGTGCTCAAGCTGGAAACGAAAAGAATGTACAGCAGGAGACCCCATTCGTCTTGATTATGACTCTGATGATAATTTATAATGATTATTTTCAAAGTGTTTAAGTTTAGAAATTATATTTTTGTTGCTTTTTTATATAAATGATTAATAAAATTTTCTTCTTTGAACTACAGACCTACAGTTGTGATAAAATATAACTATGACAACATGCTCCTCACATCATGACAACTTGCCTCCACAGTTGGAAAGTTGTCATACCATAGAGGATTCTTTATGACAGTGGGGTAAGTTGTCATGATATGAAGAGCATATCATGATAACTTACCCCACTTTAGGGTAAAAGATACATACTCTAATATAATAGTCTGAAAGCTAATTTTTAAACAACTAAAATAAGAAACTTTCGAATAAAATAGTTTTTAATAAAAACTGACTAATTAGTTTTTTAAATATTTGTAAAAATCTAAAAAGCATTATTCCCTATACTTTTGGTTTTATTATATTATAGTTATTTGTAAATTTTTTTTCCCAGTGGGCTAAAAAAGTGAGATATGAAATTTATTACAAAGCAAACATAAGATTTTTAGCTTAAAGTTTCTAATTCATTTAATTTTCTTTCAACAAAAAAAAGTTCCTTTTAAACAAAAAACTATCACAACTGAATTGCAACTTTTTTTGTATAAAGGTAACAGCTGAATATGTGGTTTACAATTAACTTGAAATTTAAAAGTTTTAAATTAATAATTATTTTTTGTATGTTTAAGTGGTTTTTAATGTCAATATTTGTAGATTACTGTATTATATAAATTTGCATGAAAATTGGTAAGGGGAAGGAGTTTTTATTTTTATGAAGACTTCTTGAAAAGAAAAGATTTTAATTTCTCATTGTGCAATTGGAGTGAGAAAACTACATTGCAGTGCGGTCTTATCTTCTTATCTCTCAAATTAATAATAAAAGCTCAACTATACTATATTTATTCAATTTTCGATATTTTTTAAAAACAAGTGTAAACATATATTAAGTAATCTATGAAATAAATTACAATTTTAAAGGCAAGATGTAAAAATTATTATATTAAAAAAGCATAAAAATCATTAGATTCTGAACAGGTGATTGATGAAACCAAAACATGCATTGATAGGAATAAGACTTACCAAAAGTTACCCTAGCTGGAGTTACCTTGTAATCCACAAAAAAAGAAACCCAACTCAATCCAACAGTAAGTATACACGGAAAGTAGTCTCTAAGAAAATGAGGTGAAAAATCACGATGCAGTGTAAATTTTACCTGTAGAGTATTGAACGACACTAAAAAAAATTGTACAAAAAAAATTTAAAAATTTATTTAATCCAATTTTTAATTCATTCAAATTTTCTTGTGTACAACTCACTGTTGTAGTCTCCTATACGTTCTGTAACATTTGGACTTATATGAACATGGGTATAGTCTCTAAGGAACAAATCTTCTCCTGCTTTCTCAATAGGAACAATCATCCATTCTAAGATGACATATGATTTCGACTGTTGAACTATGAAACAATAACAAATTATAAAAGGCTTTAATACAGCAAAATACAAAAAAAAGTAAAAGTACAGTAAAAGACACAATAAAGTTATCACTTGTGTCACATAACAATAATTACAACTTTTAATTTTTTGAAATAAAGAAAATTATTTATACTGCTTGAAAAAAATTATTTTTAGATTTATTTTGATAGTTTTGAGAAGCCATAAAGTTAATATAAAGTATAACCCATAGTTTTAAAAAAAATTGGAAACTAGTAAAAACCAAAAATAGTTAACTGGTGTTTTGTTTTAATTTTTCAAAATCTAAAAATCTTAAGTTTTTTTTCAAAAACTCACAAAACTGGTAGATAATTATACATATATAAACTGGTGAGTAATTATATATGTGTAAAAACGTTTAAACTTAACATATTGGTTTTGTTGCATGAGTTAACATAAAAAATACACTGTAAAAAAATATAACACTTGACACTGCATTGCAGGCTAAAGCCTGTTAGTTAACTGTCTTTTATCTTTATGACAAAAAATATTGAATTTTAGAAGAACTGTTATAATAAATTATTAGTTTTATTTATTTTCATTTTGTTCTGTTGAATATCATATAACTAAATTTTTTTTAAATGATATTCTTTTGAATACCATTTAAAAAAAATTTAAACAATTATTATTTGAAACCAAGAAAAAAAGTATTTTTGTAACATTGTAACTAAAATTAATTACTGTAATAAAAGCCTTTTATTGAATAAAAAATCAGCTAGTTGACCAATGTAAGCATGCTATCCAAAAAAACAGTTTCAGGCCTTCTAGATCGAATTTTCGAATTTTAGGACAATAATATTTTTGAATTTCAGAACAATTTCAGGACAAATTTATATTACATAAGGCAGTTTTTAATAAACTGGCTCCTCTTCCGCTACACTATACCTCACCTGTTTTATTTATATTTTTCATGAAATAAAAAGATCATAACAATTATTTATTAAGTAATTGACAAGAAACATATTTATTAAGTAATTGATAAGAAACAAAAAATAAATAGTAGATTATTACAATATTTTCACAAAACTCAAGTATGAAAAATAAAATTTTTCATACTTGAGTTATTTGAAAAGTTATTGCATCATAGTTCAAGAATAAAGACCTCCATCTAAAAGGCAAATAAAATGTAATAATAAGTTTTAGAGGAATTAATTTAATTTAAAAAATTAAGCTTACATCTTAATTACTTTTAATTCTTTTTTCAGGTGGTTGTAAACAAACTGTTTCTTGCAACATTTTTTTTCAACTCATCCTTTTTAAAGCGAACTTTAAGAACCTTCTTAGATGTTTCAGCCCAATTTCTCATTTCCTGAAGTTGACATGATGTTTATCACTTTTGCTGACTGCATTCTTGATTTCTTCTTGGCAAGGTATAGTACTTAACATTTGTATCATTGATTAAGACTTTGACTGTGTCTTCTCCCATTATTAATTCATTTTCTAATTTTATTTGTGCATCCATTTTCTGCTTAATTAATTTCTTTTTTTCTTCACTCTTTTTTATTTCTTCCAACCTTTGAAGTATTTTCTTCCTTTTTAATTCAGAGTTTGCTTTTCTAGCTGCATTAATAAACTCTTTTTTCATAGAAAACTTATGAACAAACTCAGCTATGTCAACTTACTATTTTCAATGCAACAATAGTATTTTTTGAGATGGATAACCTATGCCTAGCTAGCAAAGCATTATTTACAGAAAAGCCTCATTTAGGTTGAGCATTACCATGACATAATGTGAGAACTGATTTAACAATACAAGAGAGATTAATATATTTCTGAACACCACTGATATCTTTAATAGTAGAGAGTTGATGCCAATAATTAATTATGATGTTAACATCCCCAGATGCTGACATTAATTGTGGTTAACATGGTACACATTTACTCTCAAACAAATTTTAACAATTTTTCCAGAAAGCGTATCTTTAATGACGAGTAGTGCTGAAAAAATTCGAGTACAAACAGGAAACAATTATAACCACCTACTTACTGGATGAAGAAATTAATTACTGATTACATGATTTCTTCAACAACAAAAAAACTCTTTATAGTCTTCTCTTCTAGCTGCTGAGCATTTAAATTAAGAACAATATCATGTACAAATAGCTCAAGATAAAATGGAATTAACTAAACTCATTTCATGAAAGCTGTATGAATAGGATGAAGAACACATGTTCCAATACCAATAGTCAGCAGTATATTTTGTTACTACAGTGTTTAATTAAACTTCTGTAAAAACAATTTATTAATATTATGATCATTCATAGAACATTGTTGAACATAAACATAACAAGTGTTTCAACTAGCAATAAAAAAGTTTATCTGTAAATTTATTGTCTTGTTTTTCCATAAATTTTCATATTATGATAAACTGAACTTTTCATTGAAACAGTGATCACAGTAATTAATGAGAAGATTGTTGAGAATTTGAAGACCAGAAATATTTCCATATATTCTAGTACACAGTCATTTATTTCGCCTATGCTTACACATAGTACTTTTAATAAAAACTAATTAATTACACTTAAGTGAAACAGGTCAGGGTTGCGTACCTCACTATATTCCTAATGAACATGTTTAGTCCAGGCTAAAGACATTCATTATATTTTTAATTATAAAGAAAGGCCATATTAAAAAATGTTATTTAAAAATTTAGGCTATTCAGGACAAATTACAATTATTTAGAAAAGTTTAGAACAGATTTTTAAAAATCAGGAAATTAAGAAATTTAAAGACATGTGGAAGGCCTGCAGTATTTGCCAGATAATAAGTTTATCAACTAAAAAGGGTTGTTAAAAAGAGTATTTTTGTAACTAACTGTAATTATTTACGGTAATAAAACACTCTTATTAAATAAAAAATACACAAGTGATATTATATAATTAAACTTGTATCTTGTTTATAGTAATTTGATTGAATAAAAGATTTTTTTAGTTTAAGCATGCTATGTTTAATTTGAAACTTGAATTAATGATTTATGTAAATAAAACATGTGTTACTGAACAAAAATAAATATCAAAACTAAAACTACAAAAGTAACTTTAAAATTTCCTTTAAGTGCTCATAAGTTGCTTTTAAAAACTCAACAATTGTCAAGTCCTTTAGTTTTTTCACATCTAAGTTATAAATAGCTTGAGAACAACATTGCTATAAATGCCAGAACCTTATTTTTTAAAATTAATTTAATTATTTTTAATTAATCTGCACAAAATGCAGGTTGTATTATTAGGATCGTAGTTCTCAATAAAGTAATTTAAAAACTTTTTCCCAAGTTCTTGCAACTATCGAACCACTTATTGGTGATAATATCTCTAAACCTTTTTAGAAGCACAACAAAAATATTTAGTACAATATACAGTGCATCTATAAGTCCCCTTTGGACGGCTCTGAGTGCATCTATGAGTGTATACTATGATACTTAATAGACATATCATAATAAAATTTGAAACCTGATATTTATCTGCAATTGTTTTTCAAAATGTAAATATAAAAGTTAATTGAGTTATTAAAAATGTTAGTGTCAACAAAACAAAAAAATAAATAAATATATAAAAACTTGATTTAAACTAAGTAACCAAATAAACTACATCAAAGTTTTGCAAATGCACAACCTTTAATATATGTATATGTATATATATATATATATATATATATATATATATATATATATATATATATATATATATATATATATATATATATATATATATATATATATATATATGTATATATAATATATATATATTATATATATATATAATATGTATATATATATATATACATATATACATATATATATATATATATATATATATATATATATATATATATATATATATATATATATATATATATATATATATATATATATACATATATATATATTTATATATATATATATAATATATGAGACAGGACAGCTGAGATATATATATATTATATATATCCCTGCTGTCCTGACCCCCAAATTATAGGTCTTCACCAAACCAATCATTTACATACTTATTTACTTCAAGTAAGAACAATTAATTTATAAAAAAATTAATTTATGAGCGAAAAATTTAACATACACATCTTTTCTGCATATGTAGAGCTTATAAGAGTTTTCTAAAATAGTTTGTTTTTTTCTTACATGCACAATTTCAATAGCTCCCTGGTTTAGTGCCCTATTATCAGTGTCCTTTTGCCAGGGTTTAAATTCGCCCATTAAATTTCTATTTTAAAAAATCAAAAAAGATTAAAAAAAAAGTTAAAATATCTGAGGATATAAATCACGGTGTTTTCCATCAGTAACGCTGAGAGCTAACCACTTTAGCCATTTAAGTGTATTGTGCGATAAAAATTTTAATAGTATTTAAAAAATAAAAGATGTTATAAAAAGCAAAAAAAAAACAACTAAAAAAAATAGGAGATATCAATTGGCAAATGTCTAAATTAAGAGATATATGCATATATGTCAAATAGAGTTTAATTTTCAAACAATTGTTATTCTATCAAAGATGCTTTTTGCATTTAATCAATTTTTATTTTTTCGAAAGAATTTTTTTAGCATTTGAAAAAGTGCCCGCAAATTAATGATAATTATTATGGAAAGATCTAATGATGGTAAACTCCATTGATACTAAATAGTGAATTTCGCTCAATTTAGTTCGTTAAATTTATTTACAAATAAAAGAACAAACAAACTTGAAGAAATTAAAATAAAATGAACCAAAAAAAAAATAAAAGTTGTTTTGACATTACTTTTAAAAATTATAATATCATGTTAAGTACTCCCTCTGTTCCACAACAATTATCACATGATACTTTTGGTCCAATCATTGAAAATTTATGCTATTCTAGTAATTGCTTTTTAAAGATTTGCTAAATTTTTCTTAATTATTTTCTAAAAATAAAAATTTAGGAAAATAAAAATTTTTAATTAATAAATTAAAGAAATCAAGTACTATTCACAACATACTTTTTTTGTTCCACATTACTGGTCACATTTCATCTTGCATTGTGAATATTTTACATGTGTGCTGTTTAAAATCGTTGCTTAACAAGAAGAACTGGTAAAAGTCTGCAATTAAAATCTTAAACTCCAAATAGTATAGACTTAATTGCTTTGGATCTTGGGTTTTTTAATTCAATACAAGCATTGCAGCATTAGATAGTCACTAAAAATATTGATGATTTAATTAGTGCAGTAAAAACAGCTTTCTAACAATTAGATCAAGACACTACACTGTATTCTTAACACAAGAAACATACATAGAGAAAATTATGATGTCAAACGGAAACAACTTTTATAAAATTACTTATGTAAATAAAAAAAAAACTGCGAAGTAAAGAATATAAAATTACTTATGTAAATAAAGAAAAAACTGCGAAGTTGACTCCCTATAAATTTAAAATGCAATGCTGAAGCTGTGGAAAATACAAAATATTTTTTTAAATATTGAATAACTGAGACAAAAGTTATAAAATTAATAAAAAACTTATTTCTGACTTGTTTCAGTTTTTTTTTTTTTTTCAGTTATTTATTTTTTAGTACTCTATTATTCTACTATAAAATTGAAATATTTTTTAAGCTTGTGACTTGATCACCTATTTTCAAGTGTAAAGCTTGTTAGAAAGCCTTGAGTATACTCCTTTCAACAACCTATTACTTTTGAAAATCAGTCTAACACAAGTGAAGCTATAGCTATAAAAGTTCAATACATGCAAATGTGACAAGTATTGTGGAACACAATTTATGCCAACTATAGTGAAACAGAGGGAGTTTATAATAAGTTAATAAAAAGATCATATTATCAGTGTTGTTAAACGCACAATAAAAAAATAAAAACTATAATAAACATAATAATTCTATATATTCTATTATATTATATATATTTCAAAAATTTTAAAAGTGTTTTTTTAATATACAAACAAACATTACTTCACTTTAAAGAAAATAAGAAAATTTAAAAAAAGCATGGTTTCTTTTAAAGTAATTGCAAAAGCATTTATTTACTTTTATTATTACTTTATTCAATAGCATACTTAGTTATTTTTCTTAAAAGTAACACTACGGAAAAAAGTAAGCATGGTTTCTTTTAAAATGCATTTTAAATTTTAGTAATTAATAGTTTTGTGTTTTTATAAATAAAAAACTATCAATGGCATAATTAATTGAAATAATTGCTGAAGCAATGTGTTTGCTTTTAAAAATTTTAAGCGAATGCTAATGCTTGCATAAGCAAAAGTAAAAAAAAGTGACATCTCAAAAACAAATCAAACAAACGTTTGCATCAATTTCATCAATTTGTTGCATCCTAAGAATAATATCAAAATGAAATTTTCAAGTAAAAGTTACACTGTAAAACTTGATTTATGTTTTAACATTACATAGAAGTTTACAAGTTATATCATTGCATAGATTTTCATTCACATTTTTCCATTATAAAAATTGTTGCAACTCTTTCTTGCCCTTACCTCAGTTGCAATGGCTACCAAGAGTTCTGTACCAAACACGCTCAAATGAGCATTAATAAGTTGCATATTAATATACTACTGTGATCAAAAAGTAAGGTGAATTTTTTTATAAAATGAAAAATCTTTATTTATTCTTCCAAATCTGTTTCGTCCCCCTCAAAATAATCCCCCCCGGCCCCAATGCACTTTTGCCAACGTTTTTTCTAGTCTTCGAAGCATGCCAAAAAGTCCTCGGTAGGGATAGCCTTCAATGTGCGTGCCGATTCACGTTGGATCTCTTCAATGGACTCAAAACGATTTCCCCGGAGTGGTCTCTTGAGCTTTGGGAACAGCCAGAAGTCACACGGTGCTAAGTCGGGCGAATACGGTAGTTGTGGAGCAACACGGGTAGAGTTTTTGGCGAAAAACTCACGAAGAACCAGTGCTGTGTGCGAAGGCGCATTATCGTGGTGCAAAATCCAAGAGTTATTGGCCCATAATTCCGGTCTCTTTTTGCGAATAGCTTCACGCAAACATCGCATAACGCTTAAATAATATTCCTTGTTGAAAGTTTGGCCAGTTGGAAGGAATTCGTAGTGCACGACACCACAATAATCAAAGAAAACAGTCAACATGACCTTGATTTTTGAGCGACTTTGACGTGGTTGCTTCGGTCTCGGCTCGCCTTTTTCACAGTATTCACTCGATTGGTCGGTTGTTTCAGGGTTGTATGCGTAGATCCAAGTCTCATCGCCAGTAATAATTTGTTTGTAGACGTCATGATAGTCAGAAAGCATTGCCTCACACGTTTTAACGCGACGCTCTTTTTCAAAGAAATTGAGAAACTTTGGCACCAAACGTGATTTGAGTCTTCTGAGGCCCAAATGATCTTTCAAAATCGCTTGCACTGACCCAAATGATATTCCAACCATGTCAACAAGGTCTCGAATGGTTAACCGACGATTTGCAAGCACCGATTCTTTGATTTTGTTGATGTGGCAATCATCAATCGAAGTCGATGATCGTCCGGAGCGTTCCAAGTCATCAACACGTTCTCGGCCTTCTTTAAAGTCTTTGTACCACTTGTAAAGATTTTTTTGAGACATAGTCTCTTCACCGAAGGCCTTTTGCAACATTTGATACGTTTCAGCAGCAGAAATATCATTTCGCAAACAAAATTTAATAGCACTTCTTTGCTCAACAAAGTTAGACATCGTGAAAATCGCCGAATGCACTTTTGGTACTTCAGAAACAAGCGTAAACAAAAAAAAAATAATTATGAGTTTAACATGTAATTTGGCGCAAATGTTAATGACATTCCTACCAACTTAAAAATAAAAAAGATTGGACGATTCGAATAAGACGGGAAGTTCAAATTAAAAATTCACCTTACTTTTTGATCACAGTAGTATAATACGATTAGTTAATAACAACTTAAGCAATTGATTTTATACTAAAATATAACTCAAAGTACTTCAACTTTTATGGTTTAATTTATAAGCCATTAAACTCGTTTAAAAACTTTCATTTCAAAATTATAGCTCTTAAATAACCTCTTTAGTTGTGTGATTGTATAGTGAGAGGGGGGGGGGGGGGGATCTCTCAGTTTATAATCATGACATTTAAGCACCTTAAGTACAGTGCCTTCTAGGATAGGGTAATAAGGTATAGTTAATCTGTCTGGCTTATTTTTGTGAAATGTTTGCAGCATTTAATTTAACACAATATATATAACCACTATTATTTATAAATAATGAACAAATAAACCAATTTTTACTTTATGCTTTAAAGCTAAAAAATTCCCTTCTTTGAGCAAGCAATTTATTATTAGTAGTATTAGATATTATTATGAACAAAAAATGATTTTTTATTTATTTCTTAAATACAGAAAAGTATTTTAATATAACAAAAGTTATACTTACAAGTTTCTATCAAAAACAAACATTCTTGAATATCAAAAGGATAGTACTGATAGGTCATTGGACAAAAAGATAAAACACTCAACCTAAAGCAGAACCATATATGTATGTATGTATGTATGTATGTATGTATGTATGTATGTATGTATGTATGTATGTATGTATGTATGTATGTATGTATGTATGTATGTATGTATGTATGCATGTATGTATGTATCAGTCTTCTCCATTTGAAATTTAATGCCAGCACGCGATAAAGCACTGGTAGGATGGTCTTTTTCAAGTTAGCTTGCGCAATTAAAAAAATTAATTTTTTCTGCTATTTAAATTAAAATAAAAATAGCAAAAAGAACTTTTGAATAAATAAAATAATTTAAAAAAAAAACTGGTAAAAAAAAGCATTTTTCATAAAAGTTGAAAAAATGAACAAAAAAAATTTTTTGTTGCAATTTAAAACAAAACGCTTTTATTTATCTTATACTGCTAATTTAGGTGAGCAGTATGACATTTTTTGTTTTCTTCTTTTTCTAAAAATCCTGTATCAGTTAAGATAAGCCAAAAAAGTTAGCTAACATAAATTTGCTATAGTATAAATATATATATATATATGTATATATTTATATATATATATATATATATATATATATATATATATATATATATATATATATATATATATATATATATATATATATATATATATATATATATACACATATATATATATATACATATATATATGTAAATATATATATATATATATATATATATATACATATATATGTATAAATATATATATATATATATTTATATATATATATATATATATATATATATATATATATATATATATATATATATACATATATATATATATATATATATATATATATATATATATATATATATATATATATATATATATATATATATATATATATATATATATATATATATATATATATATATATATATATATATATATATATATATATAGGCCTTGTTTTAAATAAAAAATGCTTAAAGCAATAAATTAATACAATGTTTAACATCATAAAATTCTCTTTATTTTTTTGTTTTTTATAGATATTAACTTTTTTAAATTACAGCAATAATGTTAATTTCCACAAAACAAGTTAAATATTATTTAACAGATTAGCAAGTAACAAATAAAAAAATTACATTAATTTATTTACTTTATTTATTAAAAGTTTATTAGTTTATTATTTTATTACTAAAATTATATCACTGTATATATCGTTTATTAAAAAATAATAATCGCTGCGATTTAACTTCCATTATAAAAAAAAAGTTTAACTTATGTTTAGTGCAAATTTTTGATGCTGCTATTTAAAATTTAATTTTGAGTAAAAAAAAATTTTCAGGAAGGAAAACGGAAAAAATAATTATGATAAAAATAAGCTAATTTTTTTTTAAGAACAAATAAAATTTCAATATTTAATAATATTTAGTAATATTTGTAAATAAATTTGACAATTAAGTTAAATCCGAGCATTAATTTTAATTTTGATAAACTTAAATATATATTCAAAATTAAAATTAAATTATATATTTTTAAAATTTAAATTAAACAATATATTTTTTTTATCAGAATAAAATTATATATTTTTTATTAAATTAGTTTTAAATTAAATCATATATTTTTTTCATCAGAATTAAATTATGTTTTTATGATCTTTGCTTGAAGCTTAAAAAATCAATCATTGTAATAAAATAAAAACAAAATAAAATAAACTTTTAATTTCATTTGAACTTATATCGAACATAATTGTCATCCAAACTTTTATAACAAATATTTGTATATGAACATCATTCAAAAGTTAATGTGACTTTTTTTCAAGTTTATAACTTCTTTTATCTTACTATTTATCAAATTATCTAAAAGTTAAAAAATTATAAAAAGTCGCTTAACAGAAATTGTTTACATAAAATCCTTTAAAGCATACGTAAATTGCTCTATGCGTAACGCTTTAAAACATGTATGTGTATGTGTATATGTATATATATATATATATATATATATATATATATATATATATATATATATATATATATATATATATATATATATATATATATATATATATATATATATATATATATATATAACGGGTGTTCACTTGAAATCCGGACTGACTTTAAAGGGTCATAACTACCTTATTTTTTATCAACTTAAAAAAATAAAATATGATTTAAAATCAGCATTTAATTCTCTATAATGTGATACTTTATTTATTTTCAATTAAATTTTTTCTTCTTATAGAATCAATTCTTGATAAAATACCCTTTGCAAACTCTTGTACAAGATTGATATCAACTTTGCTGAAGCAATACACTATCCTTTTCCTTAGTTGTTCTAAATTTGCTGCTTGCCAATTATCCTTGTAAACTAAACCTTTTATTATTGACCAAAAATCCTCAATAGGTCTTGCTTCTGGTACATTTGCAGGGTTATCTTCTTTTGGTACAAATCTGACGTTTTGTCCATTTAAATAAGCTTGAACAGATTTAGCATAATGAGACGTTGCCAGATCTGGCCAAAATACGAATTGACTGTCTTGATGATGCTCTTAAATAAAAGGAATGAGACGTTTCTTAATACAATCTTCTAAGTAGATTTTTTGATTGATTGCAAGACCACTTTGACGGGTTAGAATTTTTGACATTCCTTTTACAGAAAAGGCTACCCAGACCAGGAGCTTGGGTTCATACTTTCGCTTTGTATAATATTTGACACTAGATGGGCAGGGTTTATGTCACTTGTGTAGAAGTTATCGTTTCCGTTGATTGATGAATGAGAAAGAGTAAAATAAGATTCATCATCAATGATCCAATCAAATTTGCTAAAAGCTTGATATAATCTACCACACTTTGTTTTTGCCATCAGTTTTTGATCATCAGTTCGATGTGGAATCTTTTTCTTCTTTCTTTTCTTGATCTTTGATTTTGTCTGAATAATTTTATGAACATAAAAAGCTGATATTCTAAATTTTCTACCTGCTTTCCTATAAGAAACGCCATTATGATGATCAAACATTGATTTTAACGCTTGTACTTTTTTTTGGGTCATTTTTAGAGCTTTTTTTCCTGAACCAGGACGTCTAAGATATCCAGAATCGTTATCAGCACGTTTAATTATATCATAGATGGTCGATCTAGCAATTTTTTCTTTTTCAAAATGATCTATGGTGTACTTTTTGTTTTTTTCTTTATTTTCAATATAGAAGTTGTACACACGTTTTCGAGTGTCGTCTTGTTTAGGTTTCATTTTCAATTTGAATAATTATTCAATCTAAATATAAATGTAGCATATTAAAGCTAAATTTAAACGCTTTAAAATAATGTATCACATGGTACGATTGCAATACATTATGTCAGATTTATATTGACTTAAAGTCAGTCCGGATTTCAAGTGAACACCCGTTATATATATATTATATATATATATATATATATATATATATATATATATATATATATATATATATATATATATATATATATATATATATATATATATATATATATATATATATATATATATATATATATATATATATATATATATATATATATATATATATATATATATATATATTAGGGTAGGCCAAAAACAAAAAAATTTGAAAATTTAACATGTCTGCAAAAAAACATGATCCTTTTCACATATGAATACAAACTATAAAAAAAAAATTGGAAAAAAACATCATTGAGTGCTGCCGAATTTGATTTGATTATTTTCATTTTTAGTCTAAAATATGTCAAAATTAGGATTTTTTAGGAAAATTGAAAAAATATAAGAATTTTTATATCTATAGGAAATATTTGTTATTTGAGGTTGTTCATTTAATAGACAACACGTTTTTGAACTTCCCCCATGTATCATTTTGTATTACTTGTTTATCAACTCCTCCCCCGCCCCCTCTTTTATGCGCAATGCTATTATTGTTAAAAAAGATATATCTCTAAGTAATTTTTTGCTAAAAGTTTACTAATTCTGCTATTATAAGAATTGTAATTCGCGTCACATTGTAGCTAACTACCCTCTCCATGTGATATTTGGTAACACTTTCAATACCCCTCCCCCATATGGTAGGGGTTTACCACAATACAAGTAATAACTGCTTTTATAACTCCTTTTTAAATGATAGATTGCCTGAATTACAGAAGAGTTGATTAATTTGGAAAAAAATTATTTGGGGCTATTCAAATAATACGCGACAGTCTCATGACCAGGCCAATGAAAAACAGAAAAGATAATAAAAAAGCAGTTATTATATATACTCAGCTAAATCAACGAATAATTGTTTCTTATTACAATTGCCTACAACTTTTCTGTGATTTTCAACCACGTTAAAAACTTCGTTTCGTACAGCCTCGTCCTTAAGATAAGAAATTTTATTTTAATCTGTTCTAATAGTAGATTTTTATGATTATGTAGATTTTTTAATTGCCTTCTCAACTCATTTTACGGCTCACCTTTGTAAGTATTTGGAGATAATTGGAACACAACTTAATTCCCCTCTCAGCCACGTCATCAGTCACTTTCAGAGTTTTGACAAACAGCTTCATTTTCAAACAACAAGCATTGCCGTCCCATTCTGAAGAAGAAACTTTAAGCCATTTTCCATCATCTTTTAAATTAAGAAAAATTAACCAAGACTTTTTCCTAATATAAGAAATAATATCGGAACTTTTTCTAATCAGTGGAAGAGTTGGTTTATCGCAATTATACCAAGTGGTTTTCCGCATTCTAGCATTTTTTTTACAATTTTATCTTTAACATTTAGAGAAAGTTTATTTGAAAATAAACTTAATACCGATACCTGCTCGGTTAGATACCAAGAGTGTCTGCTTAAAACATATTGAGCTTTTTCAGCAGGTACACCGAAGTTCGGAATACCTTTAAGTGCTTCTAGATCATTAAATAATTTTATATTATTAATTGGTGCATCGCAAGCCTTTGGCGCTTCTAACCAAGCTTTAATGTAAATGGCTGAGCTAAATGTCAAAAATATTTTAAGGTTTTTAAAATCAGATTCGGTTAAATCTTTTTTAAATATTAACATCTTTGGTGCATAAAGCAAATGCGCCATCCATCTTGCATGATGGTGAGCACTACATGTTTTCCATTTCTTGGGCTCTTCTCCACCTAATAGAAAAATTGCTAGTTCTGCAGCCTCTTTGTAATTGTCTCTTGGATGATGCTTAGACTGCAATACTTTTTCTAAGAAATTGCAAGTTTCATTTGCTTTTTGTTTTAAGAATGAATTTTCAAGATCAAGGGATCTATTTGAAAGTTTGAGAGGAATTTGTTTAGAGTGTAGCCATTTTTTTTGAAAATTTTTAAACTCTATATTATCATCAGATGATGTCTTTTTTTGAAATAAAGCTTTCCAAAACGACTCTAGGATTAATTCTAAACATGATGACGATATGCAAGCCAGAGAAGCGTTTTTATAGATTTGCATTCTTCAAGAAGAGTTGCTGCTCCGTTTCTTACTCCAGTATTACAAGCCGTTGTATCGAAAACTTGGGCAACAATATTATATTTAAGATCCCATTTTTCTAAATCTTCGATGATTCCTTTACATATAGAATGTCCTGTGCCTGACTGAATAGGTTTAATAGATAAAATTTTACTCTTCTTACAGTTTGGAAAACCACTTACTAAAACAGTTAAATAGCCAAACTTTTTACCAGATATTTGCTTCATAAGTTTCCCATCCCAGTGAAGAGTTAAATAATCTAATCTAACTTTTTTTTTAAATTATTCAATTATATTTCTTGCCATAATTTGTCTATTTTGCTTTCGTGCTCTTCTAATTGTGTTTAGTGAAATATCTACATCATTAGCTTTAACACCACCTAAAAAATACAGAATAAAATTTTTCTTATCAACTCATCACACTAATTAAAAACTTATGAAACTGATAAGTGATTTAAATAACAATAAAAAAATAACCTAGAACCAGGATTGCTGAAACATTCATCATAAGCTGTGCATTTTATAGTTTAGATCTATCAGCTGTTGCTGTTATCACTGGATGACAAACAAAGTTTCTTGGCAAAATTAAATTGATATTATCTGATACAACATTTTCCACTAACTCTGCAGAAGATTCAAAATTATTTACTTCATAATCAATTTTAGAAGAGCTCTGAGAATCTGAGTAAATAGAACTTCTAGACCCAGCAAAAAATGATTCTTCAGTTGAGTCACTATCACTTTTATAAATGCTGAAATCAACCTCTTTATCATTTATTTTTCTTTTCTTTTCTTTATTGATTCTTAATTTTTCTTTTACCTTCTTCTCTATTTTTCTTTTGACACTCAATTTCAACAAATTATCTTTTCCACCTAGTCCTCTGGTTTTTACTCCACTTTTGAGTGCTGAAAACCAATATTTTCCAGACCAGATAATATCTTCTTCTGCATTTAAATTTGATCTGGTTTTTTTAACATATTCTTTCCAATTCAGAGAACTAATATCAAATATATTATCCATTATTTTTTTGAAGCTTTGAATAAATAAACCTTTTTTTGAAAAACATTTATGTTTAGACTTTGCAAGACTTCTCCATTTATCATGTAACTTAATAATACTTTCAACAATATACTTTTCCTGCTCGCAAGGAATATCAGCTTTATCCCAAAATACTTTAACGGTTTTCATCGTTAATTTTGCAGTTAATTTTAATTTTGAAATGTTGCTTTTAGTACCTAATTCTTTTGTGCATTTAGAAAACACTTGAAGCGAACTGTTCATCATTTTTAATTGATACCTTAACAAGTAAACAAAAGATGAATTGAAGTCTATTTTCTAATTGAAAAATAATGTTATTTTTAGAAATAAAAAATTTAAGTTACAAAAATCTTTAAATAGTATAAACCTAAAAAATCTGTAGACATCTCTAGTAGTAGGCAGAGAACTGGTATTAATATCTGCCAGCGGATATCCAACCAACCATATTTCATTGCTTGATTTCAATAATTTTGAGTATTTTTTTTTGATTGACTCTATTTTAAATTATTTTTTGCAGACAAATTTTCTTTTCTTTTTTGTGTATGCAATGCCATGTTAAAATGTTAAAATGAATTAAATTGTATGACTGCTAGAAAAATAATAATATGTAAAAATCTTTATTTCTTAAAAACTAATGGAGAGATGAATATAATTATAGAATCAATAAATTATGTTGCTTTCTTAAAAAATATAGTAGTGTTATGATACTTGCTTTATAATACTTCGTTTTTTTTTATTAACCTTGTTTTTTAAACTGTCTTTAAATGCATCTATGTTGTTTGAGAATAACAAATTATTTTAGTTTAAATAAAGAATCTTTATGTATCGTGAAATTGCATGGTATTTAATTATATAGAAGAATTTAAATTACATTTCTTTTAATACATAAACTTTATGATTTAAGCGACTGTTACTTATGCAAAATATTTAGAAAAAAAAAACAGTAATTAGAACAAATATATAACAAATTAGTTAAAATAGATAAAACACTCCTGTATGCTGGAAAAGACTATGTTGCTTACATTATTTTTAAATAAACAAGAATGCGTTGCGTGTTTTGTTTGTTTACATGAAAAACAATAGAAATATGCCGTTATTAGTAAATATTATGCCAAACAACTTAAAAAACGGAACAGAAGCAATGGAAGTTTTGTGTTTTGGATTTATTCGTATAACTGAAACTTAAAATGAAATTCGGCAGAACTTAGAAATGAGCTACGTTAATACTTTCATAACAAAAAATGATTTTTATAGTTAAGGAACAACATTTTATGCAGCTACTAGTAAAATAATTACTTTGAAAAATTTATGTGGGACTGTGGCCTACCCTAATATATATATATATATATATATATATATATATATATATATATATATATATATATATATATATATATATATATATATATATATATATATATATATATATATATATGTATATATATATATATATATATATATATATGTATATATATATATATATATATATATATATGTATATTAGGGTGGTCCATAAAACAACTTTTTTGAGAAAAACCTGCTGACACCCCCTAAATGTGTTTTATCTAATGCAAAAACACTAGGTTTAAAATTTTTTTGAACAAAAATTATTTTTAGGGGTAGCTCAAGGCCCTCAAAAATTTGACGGGTCCCTAATATTTTGAAAAAAAAACTTTTTCTAAAGTATGTCAACCTGGTACTCAAAATAAGCAAAATTATATAAAAAATTTAAAAATGATAATAATTTTTTATAAAAATAATTTTTTTAGGTATAAATGCATAAAAACTATTGTTTTTAAGCTGAAAATAAAAAAAGTCAATATTTTCAGGTTTTTTGAAAATAATTTTTTTTAGGCATGTTTTTTATGTAAAATGATTATTATTTTTGAAGTTTTTATACAATATCGCTTCTTTTGAGTACCAGGTTGACATACTTTAGAAAAAGTTTTTTTTTCAAAATATTAGGGACCCGTCAAATTTTTGAGGGCCTTGAGCTACCCCTAAAAATAATTTTTGTTCAAAAAAATTTTAAACCTAGTGTTTTTGCATTAGATAAAACACATTTAGGGGGTGTCAGCAGGTTTTTCTCAAAAAAGTTGTTTTATGGACCACCCTAATGTATATGAAATATATATATATATATATGTATATATAAGTATATATATATATATATATATATATATATATATATATATATATATATATATATATATATATATATATATATATATATATATATATATATATATATATATATATATATATATATATATATATATATATATATATATATATTTATACATATATATAGGATACATTTATATAGCTTTGAAAAACCATTGGAAATTTTTAATTTTGTAATTTAAGCTTGATAATTGCTGCTAAACTTAAAATTTTAAAATAAGTTACTTTGAAGTTTTTTATGACAAAATTAGGTATAGGAAATGATTAAAACAAAATTGTTTATGCCTTTCATTAAATAGAAAATTATCATACAATGCAAACTATACGAACCAGCATCAAAACTACGTTTGAATGAGAAGTATCAAACTTTGTTATTCAAAGGAGAAAGTTAACAAAATACAAAGAGCAAAATAATTTCAAAGTATTGGGGCTTATTTATTTTTTGGTAACTGGCAACTGGTTCTTAGCAGAAAATTCTTAGCTGCTTCTTTTATGCTAGCTCTAATTCCAAAAATTTTTCTAATGAGTTTAATGACTTCTAAGGAATTAAAGTTTTTCATTTAAAAACATGTTCTTAAAGAAGCACAGTTAATTGGGTAATGTGCATTCTTCTGCATTATGGGTAATCTGCATTTCTGTATCTGCAAGTCTTGAATTACTTGCTGTGGAAAGTATCAACTAACAGCTCCATTAACTAAAATTTAAACAAATCTAAATTCTAAAATTTATAACAGAAACTATTCAGTGACTGCTGAAAAGTGAACTAAAGTTTTAAATTTTATGTAAACCCATTAGTTGTAACCAGTACTTTTTTTCTAGAAAAATAGGTAGCGGTACTCTACATTTTATTTGCCAAAAATGAAGCAATTGACCTTTTCCACAAGTTATCAAATGCACAATGCATTGTGGTAGTTGTATTCATTTAAATCTAAACAATCTAAATAAAAATTTTTTTTGAAGTAGATATTACTACAGTATTCATTTAAATCTAAACAATCTAAATAAAAATTTTTTTTGAAGTAGATATTACTACAGTAATGAGTTCTTTTAATGCTAAAGTAGAAAACAAAATAGGTCAGGGGCGTGTCTAGGGGATGTCTGCTACGTCGTTGGACGTACCCAAAAAAATTAAATAAAAGTTTTTTAACTTGATTATATTGTTGAAAAAAATCTTACTATATGTAACTATTGAAACCTAACTACAAACAAATTATGCACGGTTAATTATCTGAAACGGTTGAAAATAAATTAAAAACCAGAAAACGGTTCAAATTCAAAAATATTAAAAACCGGAAAATATTAACTCGGTTTCATAATTTTGCGATTGTTAAAAAATATTAATTACAATATTTTGATGGAGGTTAAACTAACTTTTGAGTTAAATAACTCAATTAGAAACCTGAATTGAAATACCTTATTTTATTTTGTTATATAGAACTTTATTTTTTTAATTTTTTTTTTCATTGGTTTAAAAGAAATCAGAATAATTATTTTAGTTAAAACAAACTTTGGACTTCCCTTTTGACATACACCCTGAGTAGAATTTTTATCAAGTTTTAATGTTTAACTATCACCAGGAGGTAAAATTAGTTAGTAACAACAAGTATATATTAAAATATATCAATGGACATCCCCAGTTTTATTACACTAGATTGTGTATCATTTTAATAACTTGCATTTGAAGTAATAAATAAGGAGAAAAACGCTTTCAATTTAAAAAAATAAATTTTGGACTTCCCTTTTGACATACACCCTGAGTAAAATTTTTGTAAAGTTTTATTGTTTAACTATCATCAGGAGGTAAAATTAGTTTGTAACAACTAGTATATATCAAAATATATCAATTGACATCCCCTGTTTTATAACACTAGACTGTGTATCATTTTAATAACTTGGATTTGAAGTAATAAATAAGGAGAAAAAAGGTTTCAAATGTGGAAAATAAATTTCGGACTTCCCTTTTGCAATTCACCCTGCTTAATTTGTGTTTTATTAAATTAATTAATTTTATTAAACATATAACATGGCCGATGATTACTTCAAAATGTCGCTTAATTCGCAAGCTAATACAGCATTTTTTTAAAAAAGTTAGTATGTTAAAGAAAAGCATCATTTTCTATAAAGTTAGGCGAACAAATATTATATTAATTGTGAAGAACTTTTGATATCACGATATCCTTTTGATACAAGAAAAGAAGACAGAGAGTTGTTACAAGTAGAAGCTGTTTATAGTTGCATATGCAACTATAACCATGGCCATCGATAAAAACAAGTCTTTGGTTTTCTTTAATAATCTAGAAGAAGATTTTAGACTTATTAAGTATAGCCATATTGTTTATCCTTTATGAGAATCATGATAATCGTAATAGGAACTATGATGAACCGCATAAAAGTAAAAACTTGTTTACTTAGTATTTTAATAAAAGCTATTACTGATTTTTCTTTGGGTGTTATGAAATGTGAAATTGTGGCATGGATACTTTACGAAAGTTTTTTATACCTGTGGTTTTTTGTCTCAAAGAATGTCAATAATTGCGCAGCCCCTGCTACTGCTTCTTCTACTGAAGTTAATAACAAATTTTAATTTTATTAATGCACTGTGTATAACAAGACATGTTTTTAAAATAACTTTTTTAATTAAACAATTTTGCAAGCAAGTAATAATGATAGTTTTTATAGTTTAAATCTTATTGAAGCATCAAAAGTTTTTGTCTCTATAGTTAGAAATATTATTAATCAACACCTTCAAAAATGCTTTAAACAAGCCTAAAAATTGCATTTCGAATTATTTTAACTTGGTTATCGCTGTTTCTTGCTAGACTATCTGAGTTTTATATAGATTACTGAGTTTAACACAATGTTTGATTGATACAATTTTGAAGTGTTATAAGCACCTGTGTTTTAATTTCTTTCTAATATTCAGTTTCTTCTAAAAACAATTGCAGAAGTTCAATGTTTTATTATACTAGTTGGGAAGACCAAATCATATGTTTTAATGTCTTTTGTTTAACCAAAGGCTTTATTAGGTTTATTTGTTATTTCCAAACCAAAGACTTTATACTTAAATTTGATCTGTGGGAAGTTTAGATGAATTTTACTTAACTGCCTGATTTTCAAAAATGAACTTCAATCTAATAATACTGAAACATTACAAGCAACAAACCTTTTTAAGTTTGTTATAAATACTTATGAGTTGTGTTTTAAATAAAATTCAAATACGATAAAAGTGTAACTTCAAACGTTTGAGCTGCTTTTTGGTAAACAGCTATTTTCATAGCTGACATCTTTGTAAAAACATTTAGCATTGAACAGTTATTGCAATAAGTTTTTTGACTTTAAGTATTTATAAAGTTTATTTATAATTAAATATTATTTATAAAGTTATACAAAAAAATTTACACAGCAAAATCTTGTATTAATCTTGTAAATTGTTTTTACAAATCTTGTAAAAAATTTTAATTTGTATATATTATACATTACGACAACTGAGTATTTTCAAAAAATAGTTTTTTTAGTTTGCAAATATCATATTTTGAGCTTTAGTGACCATTTTAATAATGTCACAAGTCATTTAAAGAATAAAAACATTTTTATAAAATACACTCAGTCCGGTCAAAATCCGGTCCCCCTCCCCCTCTCTAAAAAAATAGGGAGGCAGAGGCAGACAGTTTTTTTTTTTTTTTTGGACTTACCCAAAAAATTTCCTGTACACGCCCCTGTAGGTGTTAGTTGTTCCCGAGCTGTTGTCCGGTATCTAAAGCTGTTTTACATGATGAACTTCTTGCTTATAATGAAAAGAAATCTTTAGACAACAGTATTTCAACATGAACAAAAAACATTTATTTTAGCCAAATATAACTCACAATTTTATCAAGGATAAAATTGTGAGTTATATGTGGCTGAAATGTTAAGGGGACTATATACATAGATAGTTATATATAGATAAAAAGAGCTGAAATATATATATATATATAATAATAATATATATAAATATACATATATATATATATATATATATATATATATATAAATATACATATATATATATATATATATATATATATATATATATATATATATATATATATATATATACATATATATATATATATATATATATATATATATATATATATATATATATATATATATATATATATATATATATATATATATATATATATATATACATATATATATATATATATATATATATATATATATATATATATATATATATATATATATATAAATATACATATATATATACTATATATATATATATATATATATATATATATATATATATATATATATATATATATATATATATATATGTATATATATATATACATACATACATATATATATATATATATATATATATATATATATATGTATATTTATATATATATATGTATATATATATATATACATACATACGTACATATATATACATACATATATATATACATATATATATATATGTATGTATATAAAAGGTGCCTTCTAAAAAAATGTGCGTTCTACGAGAAAAAAGCACTGGTTGTAACTGTATTTTTGTAATATCTTACACAACTACTACTTAACACCAAAAAAAGATGTTTGCGACAGCCATTATGAACTTAACCTGAGCAGTAGTCTGATGCACTCTAATAATATATCTTGTTTAATTAGATTGGGGAAAAAAGTTTAATTGAACATATATTGTAAATCAAGAAGGAAACAAAGTTTAATTGGTAATCCAAGGAAGAATGAAATATAATAGCACATAGAGTATAGAAAAAAGGTTTAAATAAACATCTTTTTTATTTAACATAAAAAATTCATAAACTATTTTTTTTTTTAACAATTTTTAAAATTTAAAAACTCATTATTGACAATATTCACCTTTGACTGTACTTGATTGTTCCATTGCCATATATAAGAACAAAAACATTAGGTGCAATTGTGTCATGAAATACACCTTTTTTACCAAGAGGAAAGTAAATGTTTGGAATCCAAATTTGGTTTGAAACTTTTTCATCAAATGCAGCATATAAATCAGGGGTATTTTCATCAAATGCCAGCCTTTTATCCTCCCAAGTCATACGAAGTGTAAAATGTAAGCTAAAATGCTAATGAAAGATAAAATGAATGTTTGATTACTTCTAAAGTTAAATAAAAATAAAAAAAAACAACATAAAAATTTGAATACTTTAATAAAAATCTTTTATTTGATAAAACAATTTAACAAGGAGTGTAAATTTTGTAAAAAGTTTTAATTAAACAAATCATACATTGAAATTACAGAGACATTTTTTCAGTTAAAAAAAAGACTAAATCAAGTCTACACTTAAAAATGTTTTCTGTTTTAAAACAAAAATAATTTTTAGATGGAAATTACAGAAGATTAAACTTTATAACTATTTTCTTAGTTCATTCATCAATTCATTATTTTAAATATAAGGTGAAAAAATGAAATAAATGACCTAATATAAAACAAATTAAATTAAATACCTTTGGAATATTTTCCAATGGCACCATGTCATTTATCCGAAGATTTGTTTTGACAGTTACAGGTTTGTCTAAAAAAAAGTAACTATAATAACATTCAATACACTATACTTTACACTACAACTATACAATACAAAGACATCAATTTAATGTTTTTATTAAAAAAAAAAGTCTTCTCTAAAATTTCCAACTCAAGTAAATTGCAACTTGTAAAATTAACATTTTTTGTTGATATCATAAATTAAGATAAATTATAGCTTTTAGCAGATGTTACAAAAATTTACAATTTATATATTAATTTTCTAGTTTTCGTAGCAAAAACTATAAAATTTTTTTGCAGACTTAGTATGTACTCCTTGCATTATAAATATGAATTTATTTTTTGTAAAACCTGAAAAAAAAAAATGAATTTGTTACATATTTCTAAAATTTATTCTTAGCAGCACTTTACATTGCACAATTAATTAGCAATCTTGAATAAAATAAAAAAAAAATATTGATTTAAGAAAAGAAAAATGACAGATAATAAGCAAAAGATTTTGTTCCAAAGAGGGTCTTAATTCAGAGTGGGTCGAATATGTAATCAGCCATATCAAAAATAACAAATACACATACAAGTATACATAATCCTGTAATCATCATTTAATAAAAATAAAAAAATTAATAAATAAGTTACTACTTTACCATGCTAAACAAAGTAACTAAAGTAAACAAAGTAATGTAAAGTTGTTGTCATGCAAATTAAAGTTGTGGTCATGCAGATTAAAGTTGTACAGAGTAAACCTGTTATTTTGTAGAATATGGTAGTGGTAGCGTATAGCAAAGTCATGTAGACTTTATGTGTTTGTTGATGCATTTTATAAAAAAAATTGTTAATTGGATAATGTTATTTTTATCTAACTTGATTTAGTAAAGATATTCAGTTAATAGTTAAAGGTATGAATGTGCGAGTAATTATTGATTGTAAATAATTGCAAATGAAGAAAAGTTATTAAATACTGAATTGTATTTTTTTAAATAACTATTGAAAATAAAAAGCAGAAACAACTTAATAAACAAAAAAATTTTTATTAGGATAAAACATAAAATATTTTGAAAATATTTTTTATATAAAATTAAGTCATACTTTCTAAATATAATCTGGAAAAAATAGTACATCAAACAAAACAAACTTCAAACAGCAAACTTATTGCTAAAGAAAATGAGTTTATTTCTGAATCTAACTTCCACAACTTTTTTTTTAAACCAATTCACTTCCAACAAGGTTACTAGTTACTAGAAATTAGAGAAGAGCAGTTAAAAAGATGCCACTTTAATGAATGTTGAGTCACAAAAGATTATGTATTCATAGGTGGAACAAGAGATGATAACTCGCTTAAGCAGCAAATATGGTAGCACTTATAGTAGAATGCTTTTTTCACATTTTCCAAAACAACATATTTATATGAAGCTATAAAAGAATTTCTTTTGATGGTGTTTATTTAAAAGAATGTTCCATGTTCCATTAAAACATACTAGCTAAAAATATCTGCTCCGCTTTCAACTCCATTCCTCATACCAGTAATCATTTTATGCATTAGTTAATCTTATATTATCCTTATATTGTTACTTACTACATTTATATTACTGATTCCTTCTGTAATTAACCCTGATCCAACCTTTAAGTAGTAAGTTGGTATAGTTTCTAGTATAAATTCTAGACTTATAAGTTTCAAAGGATGCAACTAAGCATACTTACTATTATATATAGGAACAACTTCTTTTCTATAATCTTTCAGTATTTTATCCAAAATTATAGTAGCTTTTTCTAAGTTCATTGCAAGTTTGTTGTTTAGATGAACACTTTTCCTGAAAAAAAGTTACAGTTATATACAAATAAATAATTAGATTATTGTAAATTTTTTTATGATAATTAAAATCTAATGCTTAATCATAAAAAAAAACACGATTGTTTTAAAATTGATTGTTGTATATTTAATAAATTTACCATGGTAAATAAAATTGCCTAAAAATAAAAAGTTGCAAGTTTTAATAGTAATTTTAATTTAAAAATGCAATTTAAAGCCATATCTTTTAAATGAGCATTGTGGTTTTAATTCCTAAAATTTGGATAAAGTGGATCTAATTTGTGACCTTTTTATTAAAAATTTCTCTCTTTAATAACACTTATACATTTTGTATGGACTTTATATTCAGTGAAATCCCTGATTTATCCAAAAGTGAAACTTTTTGCAGGGCCAACAATTTTTAATGAATATTGCAGTGTAACAGTGCTCTTGCATGATTTTGGATAAATATCTTATTTTTGTTTTTAAAAACCATTTATTTAATTGAGCCAAAAGATAAGATTGACTTTTATTCCATCCATAATGTAAAGTTGACTAAAACTTTTCCCACTAATACACAACAGAATATGATTTTTGAAGCATGTTTGACTGTCTGGATTACAAAACCTTAATGAAAATTTTTATTAGCAGCTTTTTTGACAAAATGACTTTTTTGAGTTAAAATATCTAGGGTAGATTATTAACTCATAAAAGTAATCAAATAAAACCTTACCTTGAGAAAACATAATAAACATAAACACATAATATAAAAAGTGAAACACAATACAATAGGAAAAGAACTCTTACACATACTTTTCATTTTCCAGTTATCATACAACTATTGATAAGTTAACTGATACTTAAAAGTTATTTCTTTGCCCATTTCAAACCTTCTTTTTCTCTGAGAAAATTTTTATTTTTTAAACTAGTTGTCTCCTTATATTAACCAATTAAAATCAAAATAACCAATCTATGCAAACTTACTCAAACAATTATTACTGCAATATTTTGGAAAACCTATTTTCTTTTATTATTTTTACTTTTTCTCTTATTCGTTTCAGTATTTTTTCGACCAAATTTTTTGTCTTAGTTTAATATTCATCTTCTGTGCCTTTTGATATACAATTTTTGATGTACAACTTTTTCTTGATATTTCACTTATTGAACAAAACTTAATGATCAAAATATATTAAATAATTCTGCTTTTATTCTAAACTAACCTCTTTTTTCTATCCTATTTTGCAATTTAGCTCAGGATAAAACTTTATATTTATTTCTTTATTAGCTTGTTAGTAAAAATTAGCTTTCTAAGAAACTAAATATAAATTTAATGTGATTAATTTACAATAGTTAACAAAAAGATCACAACACACCAAAAAAACATCATAGAAAACAAACATAAATTCTATAAATTAAATGCCACATGTCTTCTGAAGTTGTTGCCACCCTAAAAGTAATTTATACTGCAAATAGCTCAAATATGTTTAGTTGAACATAAATCAAAAATCAATAACAACATTGTAATCCACTTTCAATGGAACTTATAACATTGTCAAAATACTTAAAATGGTCTAATAATCTATTCTCAAACTGTGTTTATGTATGTATATATGTTTGTTTATTAGGGTGTCCCAAAAAAACAACTTTTTAAAAAAATCTCTGCTCCCACCCTCTAAATGTGTTCTATGTAATAAAATAATACTGCAATGAAAAATATTTGACAAAAAAAATTTTTAAGGGTAGCTTGAGTTCTTTGAACATTAGATGAGTTACTAAAATTATCACCAAAAAAGGTTTTTTAAAAGTATATCATGTTGGGTCTAATAAGGTGCAAAATTTTAAAAAAATTCCAAAAGTAATTATTATTCTATAAAAATATTATTTTAAATTTTACTGCCTGAAAACTTTAACAAAATGCATTTTTACAAAAAAGTTTTAATTAAAAAAAAATTTTGTTCTAATTGTTTTTTTTTTTAAATGATGATTATTTTTCTATAATTTAGCTTCTTTTGAGACCCAACATGTTATATTTTTGAAAAAAAAAAATTTTTTTTATAATATTGTTTGATGTTTAAGAGACTTGAGCTACACCTAAAAAAAATTTTCTTCAAAAATTTTTTCAATTCCAGTATTATTTTGGTTTAGCAATTCCAGTATTATTTTGGTTTAGCAATTCCAGTACTATTTTGGTTTAGTAATTTCAGTATTATTTTGGTTTATCAATTCCAGTATTATTTTGGTTTAGAAAACAATCAGATCAAGTTAAAAGAGCAGCAACAAGAATCAATAAAAACAACATTTAATTCCTTAACAAAACGATTGTCAACACCACTACCTCCACCATATTTCATACTTTTAACTAAAATACTGTTCAAGCAGCAAAAACAACTATGGAATACGCCAGAAATTGAAGAAGAAATGGAAAAGAAAAGAAACTTTTGGCGCAAATATCTTGCAGCTGATAGATGGACTCAGATAGAGATTCAAGAAGAGCATAAGGTAGCCTGCAAAGAGCTAGTTGAGGTTTGAAGATCGGTAGGGTGGTCCTTGAAACAACTTTTTTTTAAATGTCTGGTCTTACATTCTAAATATGTTCTATATAATAAAATAATACTAAAATTAAAAAATTTTTATGAGTACCGTAAAACAGGGTGAATAGCAACAGTGAGGTGAATAGAAATGAAACTTTATTTTTATATATATAATCTAACTTCTACATAACTATGGGTAAATAGTGGCAACTTTTTTTTTTTTAGGTTGCTACATTTTAACCTGAAAGTGAAATAATGGTTTGCTTGGTTGGCAGCACTGGTTCTTGTTTGTTTTTTGAGTTGAATTTTACCGCGTGAATCTTGTGTTGTTTTTTTTATCTACTTTGAACTTTCCAGGTAAGTTGGGTTACTTAGTGTTCTTGAAAGTAAATAGTTGTACAAAATATAGTTTAATTATTCATATAAAAGATTTAGGCTAACTTTAGGCTTTAACTTTAACAATATTATTTCAACAATTATTCTTATTTTTTAGGTTAGGTTTTCTGAATTTATGGAGTGAATAGAAACACATAATTTCTAGTGTTTCTATAGACACCACACAAAAAATTTAATACTAAATTACGTTTATACTGTATAAAATACTTAATGTGTGCTATATATTTATGTTAGACACTTAACTGACACAGTTATTTTGTTTCAGGACCCTGTAAAATGCCAAGAGACTACAAACCGGTGGTTACAGGAGGCTACAAAAAGCACAATCCAAAAAAAATCGAAGGCAATTTCTGACATACAGAAAGGTCTCAATTTTTGGAAGTCTGCTTTAAAACATGATTTGCATTATAGTATTATATATCGACACTTGAAAAAAGGTCCTAATATATAGAAACATGATGGTCAGACAGCTCTATCTCTCGAAGAAGAACAACTGTTTGTTGAAAGGCTGAAGATATGTGGCGAATGAGGCTATCCTATTGACACTACAACTCTACGACTTTTTATAAAAGACTTCTTAGACCAAATAGGGAAAAAAGTTAAGAGGTTTAAACATAACCTCCCAGGCTGTGACTTTGTTGAAACATTTTTAAAACTTCATAAGGATCAACTGGCCGTGAGAATGTGTCAAAATATTAAACGATCGAGAGCTGGTGTGACATCAGATACAATTAACAGCTATTTTGATGAACTTACAAATGAATTACAGGATGCGTCTTTATCTAATATTGTTAACTACGATGAGACGAATCTAAGTGATGACCCTGGTAAATGAAAGGTCATTACACGTATAGGGACAAAATTTCCAGAAAGAATCATAAACTCATCAAAGGCATCTACATCTGTGATGTTTGCAGCCGCTGCAGATGGTATTATTTTACCCCCTTACGTTGTGTACAAGGCAATTCATTTGTACCAAAGCTGAACAGAGGATGGGCCAAAAAATGCCAGATACAATCGAACAAAGTCTGGCTGGTTTGATTTCTTTTGCTTTGAAGATTGGATACTGACAGTTGCTTTTCCATATCTGAAAAAACAAACAGGTCGAAAATTTCTTATTGGGGAAAATTTGTCTTCCCATTTATCATTAAAATCTGTGAAGTTGTGTAAAGACAATAATATTAGTTTAATTTTTCTCCAAGCTAACCCAACCCGTCTGACACAACCTCTGGACGTGTTATTTTTTCGGTCATTAAAATCGACATGGTGACAGATTATTGAAGAGTGGAAAAAAGGTCCAGGCAAAGTGGAAGCAACTGTTACTAAGAATAAATTTCCAAAGTTGTTGAAAAAGTTGTGTGATTCATTGAAGGAAGATAATGTGATCACCGGTTTTATGAAATGTGGTATAGCACCTTTAAACAGGAACAAAGTTCTCTCTAAGCTTCCACAAATTATCGATGAAGAGAAAACCAGAGATGAAGAAGATGAAGGAAAACCAGAATCCTGAAAATAACAATGAAGCGGTTGACAATAGTTTCAAAGAGCTCCTCCCGAGTCTGAGACAAGATCAGACTCCTAAGATAAGAAAAAAAAGAACCAAAGTTAATGTGAAAAAGGCAAAAGTGAAAAAGGCAAAAAGACTTTTTTGATTAAGATGATTGCTTAAATCCTCAAAACACATGTTCCGCCAAACAAGTTCAGCCAAATAAAAGCCGAAAGCTTTTGGAGTAATCATCAGAAGATGAAGATGATTTTTCAGTGCAGCATAGTGACTCTTTAGAATCATTTCAATAGAAAAACACATGAAATTGAAATACTGTCTCTATTCACCCCCATTTGCGGGGCGAATAAAAACACCATGTTTTATTTATTTTTTTAAATCAAATAAAATTAAAAAATTTAAATACTATAAACAAATAGGTCTAACAGAGACCTGTGTTTGGGCAAAAAAATGTTTATCTAGAGCAACTGCAAGTATGCAAAATTTTATACCAAAGTTGAAAATTGTTTCTATTCACCTCGTTTTACGGTAGCTCAAGAACCTTAAACATCAGATGGGTCCCTATAATTATTAAAAAAACAGTTTTTTAAAAGAGCGTGAGAACAGATATTAAAAAAAGATGTTTAGCTACCCTAAAAAACTGTTTCAAAATCAATCTAAAACGTCTTCATCACTAAATCAAACAAAAGTAAATATCAAATGAAACAGTGAAGTCACTGGAAGACAACAATGGAAATCTTACAACAGACAGTCATAAAAATTCTTATTTACTTAATGTATATTTCCAGTGTGTATTTGTTGTTAATCCCTTATATCAGAGGCCAGCCTTTGAGAACCAGACAGAAATGGAATGGGTCCTTAGTGAAGCAGAAATAAAAATGAAATCTGTTCAGCAAAAGCTGAAGAGCTTATCGAGACTTAGTCAAAAGAATATGATAACATACATTCATTTTTGCCATTCCATTAGCCACGCCACTAGTTATAATTTTCAAAAAATCACTGGCTGAAGGAGTCCCTAACCTATGGAAGCTATCAAATGTGATTCCTATATTTAAAAACAAAAGCCAAAAGAAATGTTTAAACTACAAGCCAGTTTCTCTCATATCAGAACCCTGAATGATAATGGATAGTTTTATACACAAGAGAGCCATGAAACATTGCTTTGAAAATAGGCTCTTTACAAAAACTTAACATGGATTTCTTCGAAGACGCTCCTGAACAACTAATCTACTAGAGGCATGTGACATGTTAACTATTTCAAAATTACACAAGCTTTGCTAAAGCTTTTGACAAGTACCTTACCAGCATCTTCTTCTAAAACCTGAAGCATATGGTATACATGGTGCACTCCTGGAAAAGATAACAGACTGATTAAAAGAAGAAAACAGAGGGTGGTTATCAGCAATAGCAAGTCTGAGTGGGTAAATATTACTAGCTGAGTTCCGCAAGGTTTAATGTTAGGTCCACCTTTGTTTCTGATACATGTAAACAACTTTTCAGAAAACATGGTGCATCATATAAAAATCTATGCCAATGAAAATAAGATCTTAGAGTCATCAAATCAGAAGATGATGCAATAAAACTATAGCTAGACATAAATCATAGTTGTTAAATGGTCTAAGACATAGCACATAACAGTTGAATGGTCTAAAAGGTAGCTCATATTTTTCAACCTCAGCAAATGTAAATTCATGCATGCTGGTCACTCAAATAGGTGTGTGAGCCTTTATTCAATGCTTGACACAGACAACAATAGAATAAAACAATTATTGAACGTGACTTAGGTGTCTTAGCATCAAGCAAAATAAAGGTTAAGCATCAAACAATAAGTGAGATAAAGCATAAAAATTACCTTGAAAAGCAGCACTGTTTAAAGTAATGGTTTTAAAAAAATGTTATCAATATGTTTAGAAAATTAGCAGTACTCAAAAAACAGTTTTTAAATATCTTTTAAGTTATTTAAAAACATTTTAAATGAAATTATTTAAAAACAATTTCAAAAATAACAGGCGTTAACACTAGTTGCTAGTTTTACTATAGTGATTTATGATATAGGTACTGTTTAAATTTAGGTACAAAACTATTTTGGAACTTTTAGAGAACTATAAATATATCAATATTTAACACTATAAAAATATCACTATACAAATACACTGTAAAAATATCAATATTTTTTCACTATTGTGTGTTTAAAATATATAGTTAAATATTTTCTATAGATTTAATCATTTTGTGAATTATGTAGCATCATCAAAATCTTATTATTTGAAAAACTATTTTTGCATAACACTGTTGATGTTGAGTCATATTTTTAATGATTTAAAATTAAGAAAAATGTGTGAACCAGTAATGCATAGCTAACATCAATTATTAATTACATAATTTTTGTTAAACATTTTTTTTTTATAAATTCATGACTAAAATTAAATTAAAAAAAACTAAGATTTGATTCTATGAAAACTTTACTTAATTTATCAAAATGTATGAATAAAATAAATTGTAAAAATAAAAAAATTACTTTAGTAAACATAGAATAGTAAGAAGAAAGAGATAATTTTTCATTTTTCACAACCAAACATCAAACGTTTTGACTTTCAACTCTATAAAAATATTTTAAAACATGTTCATAAAAAGATTAAAAAATAATAACAGTAAAAATTAGATTCAAACAAAAATGTTAGTAGTCATATTAAAAAAACAAACTGCCAAAAACCGAATGGCAATGTTTATGACAATGATCAATGATTAAACAGTTTTTGTAATGTCAAAATGAGCATAATAACAATTATAAGCAAAACAGTTGAAAAAAAAGGAAGTATTTTTTAAATTATACTTATTAACATAAACTAAAATACAAACTTGGTAATAAAAGCATGACACTATAGGAAAATTGTTTAACAAATGAATGGTTTTAATTAGGGCAGATTGTAAAAAAAACTTGAAGTTCAAAATTTGTAAGATCAAATCCAAATTAATGCGAAAAAAAAACGTAAAGTATTAAGTGAATATTGAAGATAATATGAGTTGAAAATTTAAATTGCAAAACTAATAAGATTAATTTAACAGAAAACACAATTTATATATACAATATACATTGAATAGGCAAAATAAATATAAAATAATCACCTAATTCTAAAAAACTGATAAACATATAATAAAAAGATTTAAGTTAACACAGACGTTATGGCATTATGTAATGTAAATTTTGTTATTTACTTTTTTTATACATAAAAGCAAGTATTTTGTAGAACTTGTATTGTAGCATTTTGTGGTTTTCAGTAACTTTTGAACCAACTAGAAAGCACAAACTTTTTGATACAATATTATGCGATTTTAATCAAAATATGGTTAAGACTTCTTAGAAAAGTGTTATAAAAAATATCTTTAAAAAAGTATTTAAAATACAAAAACAAATACTTGGTCTAAAAAAATATTAAAAATGCAAATATAAAATACTATCAAGAAAAGTATTTAAAATAAAAAATACCTAATATCAAAGTATTTAAAACTTTTTCAAATTAAAAAAGTAGTATTTTTAAGAATTGAAAATTTCAGTTCTTGAAAGTGTTTTTCACACATCCAGGTGAGTAGATTCTAAGGAAGTAAGAGTGAGGACACATCCACTTAAACATAGGATAAAAAATTCCCAGTGCTGGGGTCTAATTTGTATTTATATTTGTTAAAAAATTTTTAATTAAGGGTTATAAACATAATTATTGGGGAACATAAGGATGATAATAAACCATAATGGTTTATATGAAAAGGTAATATTCAACATGGGATGAGTGACCATTGTCTCAGTTTTTACATAGAAGAGTTTAGCACTCTCTTACTTAAAAACCAGGACATTGGCAGTGGGTATTAACTCAATAGTGGCAGTATAAGGGTATTAACTCAAATAACAGGTGTTATTAAGGGGGTTTATGCGATGGTATACCACCATGGTATGGTGGTATGTGTTTAATTTGGTGACATTAAAGCATTAAACTCAGTGAATTTAAAGAACAAAACTGTAACTTCAAAAAGTAATGAGCCCCTCCCCATTATTTATGCTTAAACTCCTTAATTAAAAAAACATATTTTTGTCCTTTTTGCCTATCAACAAATACACTTTACCTTGAATATTTTAAAATCATTAGGCAACTCAAGTCTAAAATTTCAAAATCCAATAAATGTTTATTTTTTTAGTTTAAGTGGAGTAAAGTTTGCTATTGTACTTAGTAATCAACTAAGTTTCTTTTTAATGAAATAAAAACTTTTATAATTACTCTTTTTAATTAAAAAACAACTGGACAGGTAAAAGTTGACATGGAGATAAAATAAAATGTTAAAATGCTATTATTATACCACAAAAAAATGCAAAAAGTTGTATTATTGAAAAAACTGTAGCTGAATATAAAATCTTATCAGATAATGAGAACTATTTTTCAATTTTGTTTGTTATTATTATTATTATTTTTTGGTGTATTGTCTTAAGGGTGACCAACAATCCTCCTCTAGAAAGGGGTGCTCTACTTTTCAGCCTGTTACCCTTCGTCCTTCTCTTTGAGCCAAATATTATTAATTGTCCTGCTTTCACAATAGGGGAAGATGGGGAACATTCGACCATGGGGAACAATCGACCTTTTCAAATATTTCCAACATGATAAAAATTACTACTTAAAATTTTTATTCATGTTTTGTCTGTTAATAAGCAATTGCTAGAAATAAGTATCGATCCATCTTTACTAGTATTAGTACTTATATAGAAAAAAATCTAATTATTGATGCAAAAGGTAATTTTTTTATATTCTAAATAACCCGCAGAGAATCTCTTTTCCAATTTTAACCTGCTAAACTTTTTTATTGTTTATTGTTTAATGACATCTTGAGTTAAAACCTTTGTGTTTGGTTTACTTTAAAAAATTGATTTCGGCTTTTATCAGCGTTTGTTTATATTTAACAGTGTGGGGTTCGACTTACCTAGCTGGGGAACATTTGACCGGTGTTTGAAAATACCACAATAATTTCTTTTATTTTATAGATGCCTCGAAAATATGTAACAAAAACATATAGAAATAAAAGAAATGAAAATGTGGAATCAGAAAAAATAGTATTTTCAATTATTCACTGTCTGAACCACAAGCCTCAAAAAGATTTCATGTCCAGCTATGTCACAAATAGAACCCTAATGGGAGAACCAAGTAAAAGTCTAGGGGTAATAGGCGCACCATTACAAAATAATTTACCACTCTTATCTACCAATGAAATGCATTCCTCCTGAAACTACTAGAATAACTCTAACAATTAAAACTGATTCCAGAACATGTGCGACCCTTGCCTAAAGCTTCTCAAAGACAAAATAAATAAAGAGAAAATCAAGTTAACGATATATGCTAACACTCCTGAAAAGGAAAAGATTGAAAAACTTCGTTTGGAAAAAATTTAAAAAAAGAAGAAAAGTTATTGAACTGAAAAAAAAACGCTTTTAAAGTCTGCGACTCCAACAAAGAGGAAAAGAACGGCAACGTTATTTTTATTTCAATATAACTTCACAAATCTTGTTGTAAACAGCTATTACTATTTATTTTTAAATATTTTGTGGAAAGTTTTTATTGTACAATAAAACATTTATTAGAAAGAAAGCTTACAGACTTATTTTACTAATAATGAGATGTTTGAAAGTACCCCTCTAGTTGGTCGAATGTACCCCACCGGTGGGGTACATTCGACCACTTTGAGGCTTACTTTTAAAACAGTGGTAGATTTAACAAAAATCAATATTTTACATACATTATCTTTTTTATTTTTTGGTTCAAGACCATTACTTGTAATGATAAAAAATTTTTTAAATGTTTTTAGTAAAAAATCATTTGTAAATTAATAAAAACTAGTTAAGTGGTCGAATGTTCCCCGTCTTCCCCTATATTTTTATCATAGAGATTTTATCTTGGGTATTATCCTCCTTCGGCTAATTGCCATATAGAGGCCACATCACCCACTTCGCAGACCAAGAGTAAGTGAGTTAAAGAAAAACGAAGGAAGTTTGAGTGAAAGTCAGAAGAAGTCGAGTGAAAAAGATAGCATAGAGAAAACGGACAGATGTTAGAATATCCAATTCATACTATTGATTGGATTACCTAAATAATGTATTAGTATAAACGTAGTCATCATTGCTGAGAAAGGCGATTTTACGGGGGGAGGAAGAGGTATTACACCCCCTCCCCCAAAGAGGGTGATTTTCAAGTTATAGTCGGGTTTTTTTACAAATTTAGTCGGTTAGTCAGATATTTGAAACAATTCTGTCGGTTAAATTTTCGTTTTGAGGACCTTTTTTTGTTGGTAATTTTTGAGTATTTAATCCCCCCCCCCCCTCATTTTATTCGTGATTGCTGATGATGTTTGTTTATATATTGTTTATAAATATTTTAGCTTGACAAATACCTGCTTTATTACGGGACGACTGAATAAGCGCAAATTTCATAAGTGCGAAGTGGCATAAATGGCGTAAGTGCAAACTGGCTTAGGCGCGAATTGGCATAAGTGCGAACTGGCATAAGTGCGAAGCAGTTGCAAAAACTGGCATAAGTGCGAATTGGCATAAATACGAACTGGCATAAATGCGCCGAACAAATTAGCAAACATTAGTATAAGTGCGAACTGGCATAAGTGTGCTACACATTCTTTACAACATTGGTATAAAAGGAGGTGAGAGCTTTTTGGTCGAATGCTCTTCCGCGGTGCTGCAATAAGACCATTGGGTCTTCTTAAAGCGCTTTAATAACTAATATAAATGCATTTTAATGTTAATTAAATGACACTAAATTGTTTTTCTTTTGAGAATAAAAATTTCAACTAATCAAATCACACCCATTTAAGATTATTTTGAAAACGCTGTTAGTTCATTTTTTTTTTAACTTTTCTATTGATATATCTATCTACTTTCAGTCAATGAAAAAGTCTGTAATAAACTTTTGTAGCATTGCAAGTAATCGACTTTAAAAAACAAAATCTTGATTTTTGTTTGACTCTGTTACGTTTTCACAATTATTCTCAATGAAGTTGGTTATATCGGTACAATACTGGAAGTAGACAAAACATCAGGCAGCGTAAAAAATGTTGAGGTTGTTAACATTATTTTTTAATCAAAAAAATAATGATATATGCAAGGCCACCCTAACCACAGGGCTAAATGGGCTATAGCCCCAGGGCACAAGCCTTTTGGGGTGGCAATTTTTATTTGCGATATCTATATTTTTTTTTTTTTATTAGTTATTTAATTATTAGTCATTTATTTATTAGTTTTATAAAAATTCATTTTTCATTTTATTAGTTTTTACATATTTTTAAGTTAAAACACTTTCTTAAAATATTTAACTGTTTTTTATTTCTTCCAAAAGTGCCGACAAACGATAGTAAAATAATTTTTGATTTGTTATACTTCGCTAGACAGCTTAAATGTAAACAGACCATGACGTATACTCGCCGCTCGGCACGGTGGTTTAAGTTTAAGCATTTGCGGACATTTATTATGCGCATGCGTTACTTTAAAAACAACAACAACATCGTAATTTTGATTTTTTTTTGTTATGGTTTTTTATCGTAACCTAATAAAAAAGGTCATATCATTGCTTTGAAGATGTTTATACCAGATATAAATTCATAAACTAATAAAATATATGGCCAAGGAAAACACATTTAATTTGAAATACTTAAATTTGTTAATTTTTATGTAATAAAAAACGCAGGAAAGTCGGAAATTATTTTATGGTCATCCTAATTACTAAAACATAATAATTAAGCATTTATTAGAATTTTTATGCCTTAAAGCTGTATATATTTTAAAAGAAGAAGGTTTCAACTTTATAATAAAAAAAAATCAGAGTCCGGTTACTTTTTTAAGTTTAAAAATTTTGTATATCAAATCTTATATTTTAGCAATAAAAAAACATACAAAAATGACTAAGTCTCATGAAACAAAACTATAAACATTATGCAGAATATGTGGAGAAAGTGTAGATAATGATAGTGTTCTTTTAACAAAACACATTACTAGAATAGAATTTTGTTTTTTTATTCGAATTGATAAAGACCACTCAAATATACATCCTCAAAAAACGTGTTATAGATGCTTTTCAATATTAAGAAATATTGAAAAAGGTTCAAACACTGAACTAAAAATAAGATCATGGCCTGAAAATTGCAATCTAACTGAATGTGTTTGTTTTAAATCCAATAAAGGAAGAAAAAAAAATAAAAAGATAAGTGGAAGACCTTCGAGTATTAGTTATAAAGAAAATATTTGGACAAGACACAAAATAAATAACATACAATCTAAACTTTCACCTCAAACTAAACTTAATCTTAAACTGCAAGATATTAACTGCACCTTAAACCCTCATGTGCATCTTTGTGTTTGTACTATTTGCAATGACATTATGCATAAACCAATTATTATAAAAAACTGTCTTCATTCATTCTGCGCATCATGTCTATTACCACTTATCATTGGCAAACAAATAGCAAAAACAAAGTGTCCTAAATGTTCCTTGTCAATTCCAAGCGATGGTTTAATTTCATCAACGAATGTCATTGAAATGATAGAAAATTTACAAGAAGTATGCAAGCAAGGTTGTGGTAGATTGTTTAAAATCACACAACTGTCAGAACGAAAGAAACATCAAAAAACTTGTCAGAAAACTCAAATATCAAGTTCAACAACATTATCATTACCAACATCATCAACTTCACAAATAAACCTTTCAGATATATTTGCATTGGATTCAACAAGTATTATACCAAGAAACATTGAAGATGCTGCTCTGCATGTAATAAAACAAAAAATGTCTCAAACAACATCCAATGTAATTGAATTTCCAACAGGTGGACCAAGGGTAAGACTGTTTTTACAAAAGTAGAGACTGTAAAATTACTATAACAAAACAAAAATGCTTTTAATTTTATAATAGAAAACTATAGTATGATTTTAAATATTTTAAATAAATTACACAACATTTTAGCCCTTATGCTTCACATTAACACCAAGAGCCTACAAAGAAAGTTCAGATGTATGTTTACGCACAATTCGTAGAAGACAATTACAGCTAAAACATAATATGAGCAAAACATGTGGAGAAAGCATCAGTTCTACAATCAAGCAAACTGCTACTCTTTTGAAATCTTTTAATGAAAATGAAAAAGAACATATTCTGAGCAAATCAAATATTTCAAAAGCCAAAATATCTGCTGAAGAAATGATCAGTTTAAAAGCAAACATGAGCAGTACTTATGTCAACATGAAAATATTATCAAGGTACACAAGATTGCAATTATTATATAGAAATCTTAAAAAAAACAAATTCAATACTTTTAATAGTTAGTGATGATAAAAAAAAAAACATTATTTTAGGTGGTTGAAAAACAAGAATGTAATATGTGCTTCTAATGCAAAACAAAGAAATGTGGCTAAAAATTGGTCATGTGATGCTCTTATTGTTAAAAATGCTCCATTTATGGTTGAAAAAAAAGATTCAAAAGGATCTTATGAAATCAAGGAATTGCCATGTGCATATATCGAAAATCTACAAGGACATATAACAAATGTACTAGATAGACTAGATAGGTACAAACAAATCTTTTTTAAAAAAACTGTAACATATTACAATTAATTAAATTACTTAAAAATGGTACAATAAATTTAATGCAATACTATAAAAACAAAAATTATTTTTCTTGTTATACTTTTAGCAACAACCTTTTATTATACAACAAGATTAAAGACAACAAAATCCATATAAAAATAGGAGGTGATTATGGAGGTGATTCGTTTAAAATGTTTTACCAAGTGGCGAATGTGGAGAAGCCTAATGCCAAAACTAATACAACAATATTTAATATATTTGAGGCAAAAGATTATACCACAAATTTGAAAATTTCATTGGCAAGATTTACATCAGATATTGATTTGTTGCAAAAAATGATTTGGAAGTAAGAACATATTACAAACAACAAAATAATTCAATTATTCAAACACACTACAATTCATAAACATCCATCCAATATTTGACATAAACAAAATCATCAACTATTCATTTCTTACCACAATTGTCAGGAATATGATGGATTACAGTTTCTTTTTAAAGAAATGTATAATAATTCAATTCTGTTCAATTTTAGAGAAAAACAAATTCGCGTATTTGTATTTGGTGATTATGAATTTTTGTATGCAATTTATGGAATAACTGGTGCAAATGGTGAGTACATATTTAATACAGATTTCTTTAAAATAACTCATCTACGCCAGATATATGGAACATGATTTATTTTGCCTTTTTAACACGAACTTGTTCATTAACTTTAGGTAGACACTCATGCCTGTTTTGCAACATCACAAGTCAAGGAATGTCAAATCCAATTAACGATAACATTCAAATGCGATCACTTAAGACACTGGATTTATCTCTAGCAAAATTTAACAACCATGGTGCAGATCCTAAGTTTGCTAAATTATGTGACAATGTTATTGACCAACGGTTGTTTAATGTGCCACTTGATCAGGTGCTTTGTTTTTATTGATTACTCCTATTTTATTTATTAGGCATTATTCGCAAATTCACATGAATAATTGTTTATTCAATATAATACAATACAAGTTATTTTTGTGGTAAATGTAAATGGTGGTGTATGCAATTGTAAATAATATAAACTTTCTTGTACTATTAGATAGGAGTTCCTGCTTTACATATCTCACTTGGTATATACTTAAAGTTTTTCAACATGTTAGAAGACTCTTGTCACACAATTGACATAAAAATTGCAGGTCTAATGGCAGTAAACAACCAAACGCTTGACTGTGAGGAGTTTAATGCATATATAGAGCACCAGCGCCCAATAAATCAACTTCAAATAAGTGTTCAAGAACTTGAAGATAAAATACGTGTTATAACAGAAGCACTTGAAATGCAAATACTTTTTAACCCTGAAAATGAAGAAAAAATTAAATTAGTATTTGAACCTCACTTGATTCACTTTGGAAAGAAAAAGAAAGAACAGGTAACTACTTTAAATTTTATTATTCACTAAAAAATATTTAATTTAGATTGGTAAATAAACCCAGAATAATACAGTGGATTATCTTATACATTGGATTATCCAAGTTTTGCTTTATTGATTATATTTTTTTGAATTTTTCATAAGAACATATTTAATCATAGATCTCAGAATTGAAAATACTGCTTGAAGCAGACCATATAAAGAAATCATTTGAGCCACTTGTAAAAGAACTAGATAAGGTACTTAATTCATTAGGAGTACAAAGACAAGCATACCACGGAAAAAGTTTTGTTGGTAATCATGTTAACAAAATGTTAAAGGTAAAATATATCTAATATATATTTCCTAAACTGATAAAATCTACTCTTTACTAAAAACAAAGTGTACCTAAATTTAAATGTACAATACAATATAAATATATGTGCATATGTGTGTGTGTAAGTCAGGGTTGCCACTGTTATTTAGGAACAAAATTCCCTGATTTTCCCTGATTTTTTTGCCAAAAATTTGCTTTTTTCTCCCTGATTTTCCCTGATTTTTTGCTAAAATTTTTCTTTTTTTCCCTTGATTTTTCCCCTTGAAATTTGCTTGATATTTCCAGCATTTAAATGCCCAAACTTAGCATTAAAACTTCCCTAATAACCCCAGAGCATTTTATCCTCCAATAAGTAATTAACCAATCAATTTGCTTAAAAATTAAAATAAATAATCAAATACTTCAATGAACATATGAAATTTTTCTTTGAACCAGGGTATATTTAAAATGGATATGTTCAACAGGCATTGAAAATCTGTCAGACTTATCTAGGATACAAGATAACAAAATTCAAAAAAATGAAATGAATGTAATAAATTTCTAACTGTATGTTTTACATACATCGTTTAATACTTTTTTCTTTTCTTCCCAATATTCCCTGATCTAAAAGCATTATCACGCTATTTTCTTTTGCTTGGAGTATTCTATTTTCCTCCAAATAGTTTTTTTATTGTAATGAGGCACTACAACACCATTTATCATTTCATTGTTTATTTCTATTTTGTGAGCCTTTAATTTGTTTGACACCATAAAATCCTTGATAGTGCGACAAGATATAAGTGACAGTCCTTTCATTTTTTCACTGAGTATATTACTGGTAATACTGAAACCTCTCTCAAGTAATGCTTGCCCATGACATAAAAATAAATATCAAAACTTTTGACAAAACCTTATAATCTACACCAACTTTATTCGTTTCAAAATAAAAGTAGATGAACTTTTCTCTAACAACTTTAAAAATTGTATGAAAGCTTGATCACATTCATTTGAAGTAATATGTAAGCAAGAAAGAACTAGATGTAGTACAGATTTCATCTGATGAAGAAGATCAGCTTTTTGTTTAGAAAGATTTGACACTGGATTGATGCAAGCAGTTGCTTCCAGAAAAGAAAACTGATTTAAACTTCTTTCTATTAATTTTTCCAGAATTCCAAAGATAATGAGACAGCAATCTTTTATGAATCTATGATGACATCCTGAGATAATGCATCCTTTTTCCTCAATTCGATAATGTCATGTTCTGCAGCAAATCCTATTATCATTAATTTTAATAGCAAAAAGTTTTCCTTTTTTGTAAAATCATATTATTAAAGTTTCCTGCCATTAACGATGCTAAGGAGATCTTTTTTTATAATTAAACCCATTAAACTTTCAACAGTTGAGAACAAATCTTCAAAAAGAAAGGGAATTATTTGGGCATTGGTTTGATATCTCAGTAAGATTTTCTACAAAAAACTTGCAATGTAACCAAAAAACTTCAATTTAGTTATTAACTTATCTTTTGTTCCCTCGAATCAGAGTTGTTAGTCCTTGACCTGAAAATTTTGGTCTTGGCATTGATTGTTTTGGCCTTAACCATAAACTCTTGGCCTTGCCCTTGTAACTTTTAGCCTTGATCTTGGCCTTGGACTTATAATGAGCGGCCTTGGCCTTGGTCTTGATAATTTTGGCCTTGTTAACAACTCTGCCCCAAACACTTGTCATAGCTCTTTCATTTTGGTTACTTACTTTTAGAAAGAGTCTCCTTGTGCAAAATGCACAAGGAAAACTCTCACATTTAGTAACAGTTACATAATCAGCTCTTCTAGCCAAAGAATCATAAAAAAGGTTGTATGATGCTTTAGATGGAGGTTACAGCTCCCAACGTTAAGAAGTTTAGGTAGCTATTTTTGATCATGCTGCAATTCAAAAAGATTAAGAAGGGAACAGTTCACATTTGTACTTTCCATACGTAGTTGAGTCATACTTTTAAGTTAATTCTTTGCTGTAGGGTGACCTAAAAATTTAGAGTCAAAGTATCTGGATTCAACATGATTTAAATTGCTGTTCTAAAACTGAATATTTAGATCCAATTGGACATTTTTGCCTATTATCAGCCATTTTTCAAACAAAAGATCAATTAACCATTTTTCTTTGAATTATGTTGCAAACATTAAATTAATGTAAACAAAATATGATTAATTTTCTTTAAAAATGTTAAACATTAACCCTGGTACCCTTAAAAAGGAAGATTTTTATTAGAAAAAATTTAAAAACATTAAAGAAAAATAAAAAAGTTTCCTGATTTTCCCTGATTTTTTCCTAAATCAATCATTTCCCCCTGATTTTCCCTGATTGTATCTAAATTTTCCCTGATTTTCCTTGATTGTATCTAAAATTTCCCTGATTTTCCCTGAATTCCCTGATTTGGTGGCAACCCTGGTAAGTGGAATAGATGGCTTATACTAACATTACTAGACATAACTAAATACGTAATTAACAACAGTTGCTACATACAATACATATTTCACAATTATTTTATATACTAAGTTAGGAGAAAAGTATTCTTGAACTTTGCAACTCCATACCAAACCTTGTAGTTGAACTTGGGTTCAATGACACTAATATACACAAAGAAACTATTGAAATTTGTAAAAACTTCAAGGTACTCTTCTCTAAATTTGGAATTTGTCACAAGCTTATTAACTCCTGCAATCAGTTTAATGAAGATAACAAACAGGACCTTGGTATGTCATATGTTATTTTTTGGCAGAACAAAATAAATAGAGAAAATCATTTTAATTATTTGATCTTTATCTTTGTTTTTTAAAGTCATTGTGTTTTATATATATATATATATATATATATATATATATATATATATATATATATATATATATATATATATATATATATATATATATATTTATATAAATATATATATATAAATATATATATATATATTTATATATGTATATATATATATATATATAAATATATATATATATATATATATATATATATATATATATATATATATATATATATATATATATATATATATATATATATATATATATATATATATATATATATTGGTTACAGAAAATCAAATCAAAGATTTCATGAAGTACTTTCGTGGAAACTGGCCGAACGCTTCAATCACACCAAAGGTTCATATGCTGGAGTACCATGCATTACCTTTCATTAGAAAATGGGGAGTAGGACTAGGTACTTATGGAGAGCAAGGTGGAGAAAGTATTCATGCTGAAATCAACCGTATGAAGAGTACCTAATGCCATATGAAAGGAGTAGGTAGATTAAGAAGCATAATGAATGAGCATTTTATAAAAAACAACCCAACTGTAAAAAAATACCAAAAAAAAGCTCAACCAAGAAAAAGAAAAATTGAAGATACTAAAAATAATCCGATAAAATACTGCAAAATGATTTAAAGATAATAAACGGCAGTAATAAAGCCTCCATAATATTTCTGTCAGCATTTTTTACCTTTCAAAAAAAACGAAAACTTACCAATCTTTAAAAGCATTATATTATCACAAAAAAAAGTAACCGGTTTTTGATTTTTGCTTTAAATGATTCACAAACTATTATATTTTCAAAAAAAAATCGAGGTTGTCACTAAAAAATTTAAAACTTTAGAATATAGACTATAATGTAAGCACAGGTTAAACTTCGCCTAAAAAATAGCTAAGTTTTAATTTAGTCCCACTTCTATTCTCTTTGTAAAATTATTTAAATGATAGCTTTGATGACACATACCATACTTAAAGTATTGTTTTAATATTATTTCTTATAGGCAATTTAGAAATATCTACAAATAAATCTAATTTAAAGTTTAGACAACTCTATTAGTAGTTTTCTGTTTACTTGCGAACATTATTGTTTACCAACATTTGAATAAAATATAGCGCATGCGCATAATAAATGTCTATTACTAAACCACCGTGTCGGGCGTATTTATTTATCTAAACGTAAATTGTATTATTTTAATAATCCTTATATAAGATAGGATCGTACAATGGGGTTGTTTATGCGTACCTTAATAAAGATTGAACGACAAAATAAAAATGATATAATTTTAGTATTTGTCGTTTGAATTAGGTGAACTAAAAGTTGAAAATTAAGTGGAAATTATTAAACTATATTATTATATTCCTAAGGTAAGTGCTTTTCCTTTTATATTTATGTTAGCTTAAAATTAATTAATAATGATGAATATATATTTTTAACAATATTATAACTTGGTTTAAGAAAATATTTAACTAATAAACGAATTAATATGTAATATTTTTCAACTGTCTATTTGAAAAGTATTGAACTTTTATTAAATCTAGTCTATCAATATATTTCATATAAATTAATTACTTAAATCACATATTTAAATTATAAATTTAATTTTGTAATATTTTATTAGTTCATTACATTTTAAACTTGTACAATAACTGGTAAAGCAATCTTTACTTCGTAGTGTTAATTATAAAAACAATTTTTTATTATATTATATAGGAAGACTAATCATGAAACATAAAAGTTATCTGGTTCCGCCAACCGTAAATTAAAGGAAGAGAAAGAAGCCAGGTAAAAAGCTTTCCTGGAAAAAATCACTGATCTCAAAATATAACTATATTTTGAGATCAGTTATAAATATAACTATAGTTATATTTTGAGATCAGTGGAAAAAATTCCTGCATTAACAAAAAAGGCGAAACACTTTCTATGGATATTACACAGGGTGAGTAACACAAAGAAGAAAAAGAATTTAATGGAAATAGATTTAAGTATGCCATTTGGTGATCCATGGTTTAGATTTAAGTTTAATTTGCTGCTTAGTTAGTTTTTTGTATGGAGCTGATCTAATATGTTTCAAATGTCTTTAAAAGAAAACTGATAGATTGATTTACATCATTATCTTTTTTAATAAAGGAAAAAAAAAATCAATAACAGTATGATAATAATGGCCAGCAATCAAACGTGAAAGAAAAATAAGAGGACCAGGTACAACAACATGAGGACCAGGCGCAACAAAACCTGCAACAGCCACAGCCAGAAGATCAAGAAAGAGAATATTTAGATGAAGATGAACTTAGTAATATGTTTAGTGTTAATTATAGTGATCCTGCATTATGGGGAAGATTAAGCGAAGATAAAATTAAAGATATAATGAAGAACATATCTAACGTAGAGATAGATATTCAAAAACTAGACTTAATTGGATCTAATGTGGTCTACAAATCCTTGGCGTAAGAAGATTTTTAAATGCTTGAAATAAAAAACTTATAACTATTTTTAACTAGACTTATATTCATCGAGAAATTTTAAATTTCATAGTAAAATACTTTAGTGTTCAAAATATATGACCATATAAAGTTTAAACCTTTCTCAATTTGAGGTGGTTGCAAACTTTATATGGTCATAGTTTTTGAGCACTAAATATTTTACTATAAAATTAAAAATTTCTGGATGAATATAAGTCCAGTGGAAAATAGTACAAAAAATATTTCAT